TGACTAAAATCCACACCTGAAAAGCACAGAAGTCTGGACATGGGAATCATTACAAAAAAAGCCCTCTTTTTTCTCCCTCCACTCACCGTTTCAGAACATTACACAGTATTTCTCACTGTCACCATGTGGCTGCGCGGTGCTTGTGAAGCCTGTCTGGGGGCCTGCTCTGGTGGTGCCTGCCTGCTGAGGCCATTTTTAGGTGGTTTTGGTCTTCTTGAAGTAGGGACGAAAACATCAATGTCACACCCACCCACAGACTAGTCCAGTCTGCCAACTGAACTGTCTTACCCACAGGCAGGCTTCTGAGCCAAGAAGTGTATTTAGTAAACAAGAATGTAAGCTGAAACATATGAAACATATTTATTAGTTTTTTGACATTTGTTAGTCATTTAGAAATTTGGAAAAATAAATTGTGATTAAAGGAAAAGATTTGGAAGATATTCAACAGAGCAACTCATCTAAAATTATATATATATATATATATTTCTGTATATATATAAAACATTTAATTTTTGGCAAAATCATAATTTCGCATGTCATGTTGGTCCAAAGCTGAAAAATTTTCATGACATTTAAAAAAAAGAAAACTTCAAAATTGTATCTTTTCTTGCACGTTTCTCATAAAATTAGGGCATTTAGGGAACTTGTTAGATTTGTGTTAAAATTTGAACTTTTTGTGTCATTTTTTGGTAAAAAACTAAAAAACTTTGACGAAAATGTTTGTAAAACTTTTAATTTGTTTGGATTTGTTAATGATAGTAAGACTATAGTCTTGTGTGTTTCAGTGGTAGTGTTGGTGCAGTGGTTAAGGAAGCAAACTATAGCCCACAAGTTTTCAGGTTCAAATCCCACTGCGCACGCACGCACGCAATGATCCCAACAAGGCCAGAGTGAGGGAGAGAGGTAGATGTACAAGGAGCACCAGGTGACACAAGTGAGGCTAATTACAGAGACACAGGTGAGTGTGATCACACAGATTACTCCACACAGCAGACAGCAGTAACAGGAAACAGACAGACCTGACAGGTAAGATTTTTGAAATATTCATATAAAATACTTTTTTTTAAGCTTAGAATTAACTTCCTTTTTGGGGTTTTTTTTTTTTTTTTACTTTTCTATTTTTTGATTTGTTTATCCATCATCCTCCGTTTATCTGAAGCCGGGTAGCGGGGGTAACAGTCGGAGCAGGGACGCCGAGGCTTCCTTTTCCCCAGACATTTCCAGCTCTTCTGGGGGGATCCCGAGGCTTTCCCAGGACAGCTGAGCGACGTAGCGTGTCCTGGGTCTTCCTCTTGGTCTCCTCCTTTTTCGATTTGTATTCTTTCTTTAGTGGGCACCACGCTCATTTTTATCAACAATTTCATGCTTTATTTCCATGGTCATCATGCGTTTTTTCTTCTCACTACCATCCTTACCACTCACTTTCTTAGGACTCATCACTATTATGAAAAATAATGCAAATGCAAATTAGTGTATTTTTTGTCATTGTTGAAAAACTTGTATTTTTGAGATTTGTTCAGGGACTTGGTATTGGCCAACTTACTGGTATCAGCAAAATCCTAATTTTGAAAAAGAAAAAATAACTTAATAACAATATTTTATGTTTTCTACATGTTTCTCATCAAATTAGAGCATTTTGGGAATTTGTTTGGAAATGGTTGAAAAAATTTTCATGAAAGTTTTTGAAAACAATTTTCAAAATTTTATCTTTTCTACATGTTTCTCATCAAATTAGAGCATTTAGAAAAAATCTTTTTTAGGGGGGAATTTTTCAGCAAAATCACAATTTTGCATGTTATGTTAGTGAAAATTCATGATGAATATTTTTGAAAAAATAATTTTCAAATTTTTATCTTTTCTAAGTTTTTTATCAAATTAGAGCGTTTTGAAAAAAATTTAGAAAAAAAAGATTTCATAAGATCCTCTTTGTATGTTTCTCACCACATTTAAACATTTTGAGGAATTAAAAAAATACAATTTTCTGCAAAATCGTGATTTCACAACTTTTATCTTATCTGCGTGTTTATCATCAAATTTGAACATTTTGCAATTTTGGGGGGAAATCCTAATTTAATTTTCGTAAGACGTTGAAAAATTATGAAAAGTTTTGCCAAAATATTTTTCAAAATGTTAAGTTTTCTGTATGTTTATCTTTAAATTAAAGTATTTTGAGAATTGTTATTTTGTCAGACGTTGAAAAATTATGATGAAAATATTTGCCAATTTGTCTTCACAGCTGCAGACAGTGCTGGATGTAGATGAAAGAGCTCACAGTGTCTGCTAATGTTTTTCACGGTCCATTCAAGCAGGTGCTTAGAATGTGTCTGAGCCTGCATTCTCATCCAGCAGCCAGACCACTCTGCCTGCATTCTGATTTTACAATTGGCTGTTGGAGGCACGTTTACTCTGCCTGGGGAACTAAACAGTGCCCTCTGTTGGATGATATGGAGACTGCGCGTGTCGGCGTCTGACCCCTGCTACACTTTCTGTTCTGTTTTGTTCAACTCCCTACAACTGCAGGAGTCACCTTCAGGGTGACCACCACCAAACCGACAAAATGTAGCAGGTTTGAGTGGGACAGTCATTTAAAGCTAACCTTTTTTTTTTTTACCAAGTAACATGCACGTATTTTGCCTTTTACCCCCACAAAACAAATAAAACTCTATAATACCCAAGACATAACCTAAACCTTAAAGCACACACTTTGCAATGTAACGTATGTAGTGATGCTAATTCAACCACATTTAACATAAAATAAGGAGATATGGCACAACAAAATATGACCTGATATGAAATTAAACCATTTCAGTGTAAATAGGTCTCTGTAAAAGCAACAACTCCTGTGGATTATATGGCCATCTGTGACGAAAACATGAACATAAAAAATAGAAATACCCCAGCGCCACAAAACAGATTTGGCATCACAATCCAGCAGGTGGCAGGCCAACAGCCTTTCTCAGCACTTTGAATAGCACGTTTCTGAAACACAATGGTAGCAGAAAAGCAACCAAATGTTAAACGCAGACCATAACGAGATTCTGGACATGAATATATGATCTGCATCTTTGCAGAACTCTATACAACTCTATACAAATGTGCAAAGTGGCCCGGACCAAATTCCATTTGAGACTTTCAGCAGTCGGTGACCGATTTCAATGCGCATACTGCACTGCGTGATTAACACTGGTAACTTCTACTGCAGTAATTTTATCCAACTCAGTGTCATTTGTTTTGCATAAAAATACTACACACTTTTGGATGTTTTCTGTTGTGTGCTTGTTGTAAGACTCACGTGCATTGTGCTGTTTCCTGTCAGGTTCGCTGCCATGGCCGACAGAAAAGCCGTTTTCCACAAATTGCATTATGCTGGTTCAGAATCTCCATCCACCGGTCTCAGCCAAAGGGTGGCGTCTTTTTTCTTGGCGGCACACTGCACATGGGCGCCTTCACGATTTCAAAAGTGTGTGAGATTGCTGCGAGTCAGCAATTTGATTGACACGCCTGTCAGCTACTGCCCTATCCACGAAGAGGCCTGTTATTGCTATGGACTGCACCGGTAGGCGTGCCCATGGACAGACGGGTATATAAAATTGTTTATTTTTAATAATGTCGAATGAAAAGGTGGGACCAAATCTTCAATTTGCGTGACAAAGGCTAAAATTGCTGTGCAATACAACGTAAAGCAGGACAGGTGGTCACTAATTCACACTGTTGTCCTGACTTTGAGAACAGTTGATTGACTTCTTCTTTTAATCCTGTCAGGGTCAAGGAGTGCTCAAGTGTGATGCCTTCGCAGCCTCCAAGTGGGATTGGAGTGATGTACAATCCCCTGCAGGATTCCACAGCTCACTCCAAGTTCCAGACAAGTAATCATTTCTATTGAAGTGCACTAACCGTACAGACCATGTTACTATTATTTTAACTTGGATGCCCCAGAAAAAGAATTCTATTTGTTTTAGAGGTACTGTATTTACATCTTTACTATTGTGGCTATCTTTCTCAAGCTTTTCCAGTAGTAAATACTCTCACTTTTATTATTGCATTTTTAAAATGATGGTAAATGGTGCAAGGCTATCACTTGCTAACAATTAGCACATTAGCAACTGACAGCTGGATCATCCAATTAGATCACAGGTGTTCTGTGAATCAGATGATTTCATTGATTTTCTCCTAAGACTGTATTTCATTAAATCAGTATATCATAACTTTTGTTACAGGAATTTGTACCTAGAACTTTCTCTTTGGAATTTGTTCTGCCCTCTTGTGCAAGGGTTTCCTCTAACAGTTCACCAACATGCAGGACCAGGTTATCCAGAAACTCTTAATTGAACTTTTCATGTTTCCTAACAACAGCTGGGTTCAGCCCCATCACATGTGACCGCTGCATTTGTAAGTTAGTACCAGCCCATAAATCAACAATTAATCACGATTATAGAGACTTGGACGCATCATTTAGTTGAAACCCCACTGACGCCAGCACTAGCGATGTGCACACACTAGAAGAGAAGGCAACACAAATAAAAATGTTAACATTTATTGCTTATTCTGAATACTGCGTTGAGAGCAAAAGCATTCAGAGTATACACAGAAATTATACAACTGTATATGGTTTCACAAAGGCAGTGAACACATGACTGTATTACAATCTAAAAAAATTCTACTTTACAGAAATTTAAAATCCTAAATATCAAAAAGTACAGCTGCAGAAACAGGTGTAGAACTGGAACCAGAAACTGCTCTGGGCATCAGTGAAAACGACGTGGTGACATCACAATACAAAGCGGAGGTCATCTTTGTACTTACAGCTGGTTTTTCGGAAACAGAAACTGGCAGATGGAACAAAAAATATATTTCCAAAATAACTTCAATAGTAATGGTCATAAATTATGGTGGGTTTTTTTAACCTTCAAAATATCTCAATTTACAGAGGACATCTCTACAAAAGTAGCATGTCACCATATCTTTCAGAGGGGATCGGTAGTGTATGTTTGCAAAGACAGAGGGAAAAAAAAGATTAAAATAAGGACACATTGGAAAATACTCTCCCATCACACCATGATTGGGAAGTAAATTTTAAAATAATTAGCAAGGAGAAACTACAAAGTTATGAGGGAGGGAGGTTAGGTCTGGAATATTGTTTAACTAAGGAATATTTTACATGTGCTTCAGTCAGGAATAGAAATGGTGTTGATAGCTCAAATTTGAACAACTTCATAAATAATAATGATGTGGGCTGGTATGGCTCTGTTCTGACCATTGGGCTTAAAGGGTACAAAACCTAAACCACCAATCCTGGCACGGCATCCAACAAGGCTAGAAGGAGTGGCTTTAAAACCCAAAACACTCAAAACAACTCCATTGAAAAAAAAATCCCAGCCAACAAACTCAAGGCTGCCGAAATCAACCTCTTTGAAGAGTTACTTAAAAATTCAAGACAAGAAGATCAATAAAATGTTTAAGTAAAAAAAAAAACAAAAAAAAAAACCCAACTCATTTCTACGCCCACACTAATGCCAGGTAGCCATTTGGGTGGAGGGTCCTAAAGTGGGAGGAGGCTCTTAGTTTTGAGTAGAAGGACCAGTCGGCCTCACTCCCACTGACAGTCAAGCTGGATTCAAGGACAAGCTGGTGTGTGGTCACACTTGGCTAGCAGTGGACTTTTTAGTCTAGTCCTGCTCCATAGGCTCCTCTGTGATCCCAGTGTTAGTGATGGCATTTTCCATGGCGTCCCCTGTGGGAGGTTCAGTCGTACTACTTGAAGGAGCAAAAGCTACATCTTCTCTGGCTGCTTCTGCTCCGTCCTCTATGCTACTGCTGCTGCCATTGCTGCTGCTGCTACTGCTGCTGCTGACTGGGTCACTGTTGCTGTCCTCACCGTCCCTGCTAGTTTCAGGACTCTCCAGGACGCCTGCAGGTGCCTGCTGCTCAGTCTGGTCCATGTCACTGCCTTCATCCTGGGAGCCGCATGGCACCTCCCTTTCAGCTTGTTCCAACTCCTCACTTGAGTCCAAGCACACCTCAGCCTGTGTGCTGCTTGTTGGTTCTAAAAAAAAGAAAAAGAAAAACAAGTTTATTCACAGCCAAGAGTCAGGAGTTCAAAGCATTAAATGAGGAAATGTTTAAAGGGCTGATAAAGTTGTGGCAAAAAAAAAGCTCTACTGTATAGGAGACTATGGGGAGTTGTGGTTCCAAAGACCTTACCTTATTTAATTTGTAAACATTCACTGTTCAAAAGATAGAAAAGGCAATTGTATAAATTAGAGAACAACAAAACTTGCCTTGGACTTCAGTGGTAGCTGCACTGCTGGAAGCTTCATTTTCTTTGCTATACCCGTCCTTCTCTGCCTCATCATCCACCTCTTCATCCTCTTGTACCATGGCTTCAGCCTCTTTCAAAAGGCAAGAGTTATGTGCTGGCCTCATTGTATCCTCTTCCTGTTCTTCTTCTTCGTCATCTTCATCATCTTCCTCATCCTCGTCCTCCTTGCTGAACTTCAGTCTCTTCACCTCCTGCTGCTCAGCTTCCATGTCCTCTTCTGCGTCTGGGTGTTTGTTTTTCACCGAGCTCCCTAGGGAGGCTTCCGATGCTGAAATCTCACTGCAAAGACAAAGCAGGAATTTTTTTTTTGTTTTAAAAACAAATGATTAGGTTTTTGACATGTTGTGAGCCACTAGTTACATGGAGTCTTTGTCTTCTTCTTGCTCGTCGTTGAGGTCTTTACTGTCTGTGCTGTCTGGCAGGCCATTAGCAGCTAGTGAGGTAGCCAGTGACAATTTCGGTCGATTTAGAGGCCGTGGAGTTCCTGGACCATTCACCTTCCTTAAGACAGAAACATAAGAATGTAACAATAAGAAAGAGGAGTATTCAGAGGAGAATTATCCAAATGCGATTAAATACAAATAACAGTATCATTAGAACATAATAAATCTGCCTCCTATCTAACCTTTCTGTGAAAGCAGATGTGTTTCCAGGGAGCATCACTCCATTCACTCTATTGACAGCACTGCATCCATTTTTCCTTAAAAAAATGTTTATGAAACCACACCACTTATTTCACTCCAAAATAATTACTGCAAAACACTGAATTACAAACTGCAATATTAGGACACTTACTCTGAGGTTGGATGTACACAGCTTACAACCATTACATTCTAGAACAAAAACAGGAATTTCCAAGTGAGTGACAAAGAGGCATAAAATGGTAGAAGGGAAAAACATATATACAATCATTTATTATGTACCTTCTCTACCCCCCGAAGGAACTTGTCTGTTCCTGTATAGTTCCTCTTAGGTTCTGTGAGCAGCTCACACAAGCGCTGGATTGTGAATGGGATTCTAAAAATAACAAAGCAAACAAAAATGACATGCAAATAGAACATTTATTATTTTAGGTTGCAAAATTGTCATTCCAATAAAAAAAGTTGGTTCATAATTTATATATTTTGCACTATACAAAATGGCAAACTTATGGGTCTCTGAAAGGTGGGGCTCAAGGAATAGACTACAGCACTGAAAGTTTGTTAGGGTTGACGTGTGTATTTCTGAGTGCATGTCAGCACAAAGTAAGGATGAATATAGTATGGTGTGTCAATATAGGTGTTAACAACAGGGTCATCAAGGACTGAAACAGTCATGACATTTGAAGGTGGTTCGGGATGTACATGATTATGTCCATTTTGTTCTGTGAATTTAACATTGTCTTTAACATTATCCACAAATAATGTCAAACCAAACTGTATTTACATGTCAATCTATTCAGAAGCAGTACTACAATATAAATGTCAACATCTAAAATCCAGTTGTTGATCATTACAAGCCACAATCAACAAAAGTCAAACTAGATGAACAACATATTTGCTTGAGGCCCATTAAAAGAAATATGATAACAGCAAGTCCCATAACATCCTGGTGTCAAATTATCATCACAGGTATAAACATATAGTGGACACTTACCCATTATATCCCTTTACGATCTTTAAAATTCTCTCCTTCATATCTTCAAATGGAATTGACTCCACATTTGGATTTGCCGGACCTCTTTGCTCAGGTGCCGAAGCTCTAAAGTCATCCATCACCATTTCCAACTTAAACAGGAAGTAGTTCTTGAACTGAGACCACTGGACCCTGGCGAATACATTGTTGACGTGTTTATTTCACGTCATAAAATATCTTTTACAAGATCTACTCAAATGTCAATTTAGTGAATTCCAGATTAACAAATTCACTCACTTGGTAATTTACACTACTCACATTACACAGCCACTATTGTAATTTGTTCTGAGGCTATTCAAAGTCCCGTCAAAATGTTTCTACGCACACGTTGCCTGGCTCTTGGTCAACAGAAAGTGACACTATTATAAAGAAAACTCAAGTTTGTGTGATATTAATATAAAACACCTTAAAGCTCACACAAAGTATTATGGAAGGCATCAATTAAAATGATCCCACAGGAAATAAACCCTGTTTACAGCTGCTTTACAGTGTACTAAAGTAATAATGAGGTTGTTGCAGTTACAGTTGCAATGGTGAGGCAGATTGCTCAGGCCCGCTATGTCCACTTACATGGTCTCTCCAGTCTTGGCAATATGACATAGGAACTGTTCCAGGAGAGGTGATGCCTCCTTTTTCGCTTTCTTATCAAAGTCTGAAAAAGACAAATAAATCCTTCATGTACATAATATTAGTCAGTTCTGATATTAAAGGGCTTCAATTTGACACAACTCTACCGACAGTTTAGTTAATTATAATGAAATGCTTAATGTTTTGAGGCTTAGCAACAACAGCCACATATGAATACAATTTGTTCGTTGTGTGGTGACACTAAAATGTATCATATTTTTGTCATTAACAGTCGATTAGTGTGCTCAACATCCAATCTCTCTAAAAGGCTAACCGGTTAGCAATAAGTTAGCTGCAGCTAACATACAGCATAACCGGCAAACTGTTTAATCGAGAATCTGTCACTCTAACTGAGCTGAAAAGTAAATGAGACGTTAGGCCACAAGAATGACGTAATAATGTACATGTATGGGATGTGGATATCATTAAAAGTAACATATTTTATTGGGTTCTACAGCGAGATAACACATGGAATGAACGCTGTTTCCGTCAAACCAATAGCGATGTTAACGTTAGCTCAGAGCTAGTAAGTAGCGTTAGCCAGTGAGCTACAAGCCGTGTATGTATTATTATGTCGCAATTACGGAAATACTTGAACAACACGTGACCAACAAACGATCAAAAATGTCATATGAGTAAAGGTGAAAGACCTCTAAGTGCCTCTTGAAGCGAGTCAATTTCCATCACGTCGTTGCCCTCTATCAGTCCCGGCGATGTAAAAAGCAGGTTGGCGGCTAACTACTGCTGCTGCTGCTGCTAAGCTAAAAAGCTCACTGGGGGAAAAGAGGAGGGAGCATTTTAATATGGCGCCGTGAGGTCACAGGCTGTTCAGAAGCCACCAGCAATAATCAACACTGAGGACCGTAACCGCAACATCAACCCTCGAGAAGGGTAAAGTCGACTCATTTCAAAATTACCTTTTTAACGAGTAAACAAATCCAAACAAATTTTGCGTTTACAATCATTAATAAAAGGGATTTTTGTATATGGATTCTCCATTTACATCAAAGTCACAAGGGACAATCTTTAAAACATCTTTTTCTTGAGCCGGAAAATTATTATTTGTTGAAATTCAGAGCAAGTTTACCTTTAACACTACATTAAATTGTTAGACAGACATACAGCCTTTGTCTCACATTAAAACTGCAAATTATATCGAATTTGCATTTGCTAAAAATAGTGTTCAATAAGAATTAAACCCTAGATTTTGCAATGTTTTATTTTGAAGACACAATGGCCATTTGTTTTTCCCAGTTTAAATCATATGATTCATGTGGAGTTGATACATTACATTTGACTCACAGGTTTACATTTCTGAAATTCACAGAACACGTAAATATCGCTTATATCTTATGGTAGTAAACATAACAGAATATACGGCACATAATCAGCTGTAACATGTCAACCATTCAGCACGCTTTTTTCCCCCCACTACAAAGTGTAACATGTCATGTCCAAAACCGCCAACAGGTAATACAAACATTCTAAAAGTGCATTTTAAACATTCATTTCGTAACAATCAAGTTCAGAGATTTCCTGTATTGTATACTGTCAGTGGCATTTGAAAACTGCACAACGAAGCAGTAACTCCAAATTCACACAGGCTCACTTGTCAGGATCACTACAGGTTTATTATTCACATCATCTTTTCAAAAGTGGTTTATGGATGTGCTACTCAGAGAAAAGCACAGAGTTGGCTTTATTACAAAATCCATGAGTAAAAAATAGACAAGTACTTAAACACTGTAAAATAGATTCATTCTTTCTTTCTTTTTTACAAATAGGATGAAGAGCTGACGCTTCATTGTTCCTGAAAAATGAAATCTCTGCAGTCCCTCAATCACTATGTCGAGGAGGTGATGAGGCAACCCAATTGTACAGCATCACTGACCAGCACTGAATGCTCCACTGTACACAATGGTCTTTTACCCACACCATTAGAGTCTGTGAGTGTGCATAAAACCATTCTTCCACCAAGTGTCACGTGATGAATACACTGCAAAAGCATACTGAGGATGTATAATTTACAGTACAATGTCCCTCGGCATGATCCGGCGAAGGAAAGTCATCGTACATCTATGCTTGTCCCTTTTGGTCATTTGTGTGACCTCACGTGCTTAATCACTCTCTCTTCGTACACCTTCCTCATGGTTTTTTCTATCTGCTTTAGGAAAACCTGAGGAATTCGACCACATAGGGTGTTGACTGTCTCCAGGAACTTGGTCTGAATGGGGTAGAAGAGTGACTGGAACAAGTTGTCTTCAAAGGGAAACTGCAGACACAGAGACATTGATTGTTACAAGTCTGACTTTCAGGTAAAAATGAAACATATCATAACATTAAGTTATTAGTTTAGAGTGTGCAGAATACGGCCGTACCCTGTGCTAATCAAAAAAAAAAGTAGAGCATAGCCAGTTTGGATATGTAAACCTACAAAAAATGTGCCAATATAGTGGAATAAATAGCAGCATAGATAATAATGATTTAATTTACTACTGATTTGAGTTGAAGAAACGGGTTTTGTGCATTTGAAGATTTCATGCTTAATTGGACAATCTTAAACAGGTGGACTTAATTAAAATTCACCAAGGTCCAATCTGTGACAATACTAACTAAATGCAATATCTAGAAACTTTATCGTGGGTTTGGACCAAACTGTGCCTGTAAATAGTATTCTTCTGTGTCCTTACTATTGATTTAAGTGGGTACATTTGAACAGAAGAGTTGTGCTTAGTCTTATGGTGGCGCTATTACCAGAGGTTTTTAGTTGCCTTGTGGAAGCATGAGTATGTTAACTATTCTGGTTTGAAAGCCCTGTTTTCCACATCCAGTTCTTTTTTTCATTTTGACCACACCATCTAAATTACCGACTAGCTTCGAGTCTTCTCTTCACTGTGTTTCACTACCTTACAATACAGTCTCTCTGTGTCTCCAAATGCATTGATTTGTGTCACATGAGGTGAAGGACGCTGCATTTTTATGGTGAATACCAGGCTCGCTGCAACTGTTAGAAGAGAAATGCTCTGGAAAAATGTTAACAAACCTCAATATCTAATTAACTAAAAAACAGAAATGTTTTATTCACATTGAAGAATGAACTTTGTTAAGTGCCAGTGGAGTGATTTGAGTTTCAACAGACCTGACTGTATGTCAGTATAAAGCCATTATCAGAATGGAGTACTCGCCTCCTGTATTGCATCATAGACGACCTTAAATGCAGGCTGCTTGTTATCATGATACACTCCACGGTTGCCATGGAGGATGGACACACCCTCCTCTTCAGCCACTTTACAGTTACTCCCATACATGCAGTGATCAGGTCTGTAGTTCCACAGACAGGGAAAGATGTAGAGACATTCTGTAAAATGAGGAGAACACATGAAAACAAAGCATTGTACATCTAACATTTAATGACAGTGGATGACTGCATATCCACCCATACAGTAAAAATTATATATGATATATAGATTAAAAACAAGGGCCGTCAAACAATACAAATTTTAATCTGATTAATCACAGTTTAGCCGTGGGTTAATGGTGATTAATCTTGATCATAAGTAATTATAATAATGGAATTATTATATTGATCATAAGTAATTATAATAATGGAATACAGCATCATTCTGACAATGTGCAAATATGCATAAAAATGAATGCATCTGATTAATTTTACAAATTAATTAACATGAATAATGCAAGAATTTCAACAATCCTAAAAAAAAAATCTGTTTATGTCAATCTGTCAATCTGCCATGAAAAGCCAGCACAGCAAAGAACATATACTGTCTCCAAGTCAACTGATCAACATGGATACACTGCTGAGGTGCATTTATTTTTAAAAATTAATTTTTGCCAACCATCGAGAACGGCAATCAAATATCTGCTTCAGGAGCGCCACAGTCGTAATCTAACAGAAGCATGTTCCATAATCCATAAGAAAACATTTCTTTTATACACAGAAATTATATTACTTAATGTTAAACATTTCAGAAAACAATTATCACTCACACTGACAAGTGAGTCAATGACATTTCATCATAATAATTAATTTAAGTGCTCAAGCAAAAAAAGTCAGAACAACCAACCAACACTAGTGTGACGTTTCATTTGGAAAGGAACACACAGCTCTGGTCCAGAACGTAAGTTCCCATTAGTAAAACCCCTTCACTTACACACACAAATTCATAAACATTGGACCCAGTATTAAAACACCAGAATTCCCCATTAACATGTAAAAACAAACACTCAACACAGTTTGGCTGAGCAAACACTAGCAAAACACCAGTTGTGCCAGCAGCTCTGAGCACTTAATGCCTACATCTGGCTGCTGCAGCTGGATGCTTTTCTCACACACACACTGCTGTCTACAGCTACACCCTCATCAGTATTCAGAATGCAGAATGGCTTACTCTTACTAAATTAGAAAGCTGTTAATGTACACACTGTTAAACAGCTTGGACCAAAGTGTAGAGACTTTTAAAATTTAATCCATGTTGGTTTCATTGCCCTCTTTGAAGCTGCCTCTCTTTCTTCATAACAGTGTGTACTCTTACATGCGCATTAAAGCCCAACTGAGTCGTTTAACTGCACTGCTAGCCTTGTCCCAGTCGACAAAAAACATTTTACAATAGTACAGTATGTTCATCCCCATAGCAACATGTTTTTCTCAAACCAGAATGCTGTTCAAATTAACTAACAACAAGAAATAAATCTGACTTCCCTAAATTATCTGCACAAAAAAAAAAATGAAATACTTGGGTTTCTTGTTGTTTTTGTTTGTTTTAGTCATGGTGTTTTAGGGTAGGATAGGAAAACAAAATGGCAAAAGGCTCTTCACAGCTATCAATATTTACATAATCTGTACTATTTATCATTTTTAAAAATGTAAAAGAAATATGTACATTTTTTAAATTTGCCAAAACAAGGTTCTTTTTATTTTGAAACTATATCTTAGCACTGGCTTTTTTCACAGATTGAGTCAAACTCCTTAGTTTTATTTATTTGAATATTGTTGCAAAAATCGTTCATTATTATATTATTGTATTTTCTGCACAGGTTGTCTACTTTTCTTGTTTCATAAACCATTTTTGCCCTTAATGACTCATTCAGAGCATGAGATGAATACACATGTTACCTGGGTTGTAGTGGAAGATAATGTTGAGGAGATCCTGGTCTCCCCAAGTGATGTGGTTCTTGTACTTCTGATAGAGTGGATGTAGAAGATCCTCCCACATCAGACCACTGGAGATCATACTGTTCTGAAATACCAACAACGCAAACATATCAACTTCAGCTCTTTGTTCTGAGAGACACACCATCCAAGGAGAGCCATATTTACATTTCAGCACTGGTTTGTAATCTGCGAGCAGTAAGAAGAACTGGAGAGCTGCTAAATTGAGTTCTGCGAGCAGGCATTTGTGATGCTAGTGTGGTAATAAGTGAGCTTCACACACGGCCCACTCAGAACACTCAGTCTCACCACTCAGGAAGAAAAATATTCTTGGAATGCAAAAGAGACATTACAGCTCACTCTAGTTGATCACAGTACAGGGAAATCAGACTGTGTGTTTGACCTTACTTTGAATAATGTGCTGCGAATCCTTGTTAGATTCATTAGCATGACGCCGGAGTTGACCCCCGTGACCCCGTAAAAAGGGTGGCGTGCAAAGCGGCTGTACCAGCCTATCTTGGGGACTTCATGCTCTGGGGCCATGGCTGCCAGCTGAGTGCTGTTGAAGGATTTTAAGAAACTCCAGATGTCGTCCATGGGCCGCAGGAAAAGAACATCTGTGTCCACGTAGAGAAGTGAATCCACGTCCTTCAGGATGACCTGCAGGCATGAGTGGAGGTGGCAGCAGAATTAAATGAGCAGATTTCTAGGACCAATTATTCGTATAATTCCTTGTGACATGTGACCAGTATTTGTTCTAAAAAATGTGGATAAAAATTATTGTTTGACGTCATACGTAAACACTAGTCAAATAAATAAAACCACTGTTTGTACATGCTGCTCCTAAAGACTCTCCATCTGCACAGAGCGTGCAAACAGCTTGGTCACATAGACCACACTGGCATATTAATGAATCATAACTACAAGTGCGCAGAAGGCATAGTCAGGTTTATTTCAATTAGATTTTCTCTTCTTTTTTTTTTTGTGAAAACACACGTAGCACTATGTAAACATTCGTAGCAGCCAAAAAAACTAGAACAACTGCAATATAAATGAGTTAAGACTGTTTTTACTAGGAAAAATGCTTGACATTGAAAATTAACTTTTTAGTAGTTAACTTTTTATTTTCTCACGGCAACCAATGTGACAGACCTTTTCTAAGTATAAACTGTGATGCAATCTAACAGTTTCACACAGTGCTGAATTCGTTTGTCTCATCTTTTTCTTGGCCTTATCTCTGTGGTATCTCTTTTTTAAAGAGCGAACCTGAAATACTTCCTAAAGAAGACATCCTGATAAGATGCCACTTCAACCTCTACTGGCTCTTCTACATGTCAAGGTAAGATGACACTGGTTTGAGATACCACCACATGTTGAACTTCCTAAATCACCAATATTGTGACTTGATGAAGTCAACACCAAAATGTCTGATTTGGTTGTCTTGATAAAAAGCTGAATTGGTAATGAAGGAAATGTAGTCTGGGACATTTAACTAATGTCACAACCTACAAATGCTATTGTTGTAACTAAAACTAAAATGTAACTGTACTGCATTTTTATTTCAGTAACTGTTGCCTTGTAGCATGAGAAGAAAACCTGATTGATCTTTCTGATCAATGTTCATCACATGCTAAGTCATCTAGATAACATTTCACTGAACGCCAGCAGAAAGAAAATCAATTACCAGAAACAACCTCCTCTTAATGAAATTAAGAAGTTAAGCGTGTCCCTGGAGACTGCTGGTTTGTTAAATAAATGGATGAGAAAAGGTGTGAAGTCAACACTCACCCTGCCACTCATACTTAGATAATTATACACTCAGATTAAAAAGTGCTTCATTTAATAGAAGTGAACACTTCTTCTTGAAGGGTTAAAAACACGGGCTGCAAACTTACGGGCAAAAAAAGCCTCTGAGCAGCGCAGGGCTTGAAGAGCTTCTTCCACTCGTCAGCATCTCCCACAGAGAAAGTGATGGGGTATATGGCGTACTGGAACTTAACTGATACAGAGCGAGGCCACTGCTTCAACTGAAAGTAGAAGATGGATCAGACTTCAGATACAAGAAAGTACCTAAAGAACTATAGGAATATTGAATGATTTTTTTAAGTCAATAGTTTGACCAAAAGAAAAGTATGTAAGGCTAATAATTCTATTAATGTAATCCATAATATATCCAATACTTTTATCAATTTCTAGACATTTCAGGAGACCACATTTAAATTCCAGGTGACCCACATGTGGACACACCCCCAACCTTGAAAAACTGATATAATATGACATCTACTGTCTCCACATAAGTTGCCTGCTGTACAAACTGTCGCCTGTACGTCATCATCTAGACCTTGACTATCACGGTTCCCCATCTTCCTCAAGGGTGTTTTTTCCTCAACACAAATAATTCACCCACAGTTGACAGCAGATTCATAGGTTCAGGGTTACGGGTTTAAAAAGCACATGAAGCAGTTTCAGGTTCATTAATTGGATCATGTTTAATAGAGTGTTAGTTACCCTATCAGTGAAACTAATCAAAAGCACTGGTGTAAAGGTGACTTTGGAGTGCTGCACGGTGCTGAAGAAAATACAGGTTGATATATTACATGCCAGCCTTGAGATAAAAGGATTATATGTCTGTACTAGAGCAAGAGCTGCAGAGTCAAACATGCTGTGATCTTGATGTTGTGCATCACAGAGAGAGACGTGCAGAGTTTATCAGAAATCAAAGAGCGTTTGTGTTACTGAGGTGTTCTTCAGTATTACATAGTATTTGTGATGTGTTGTAGGTATTTGGTGTGTACATCCACATTAGACACCGGAGCATCGCTGGGATTTACCCTTTTTTCAAACTGTGGAGCCAAAGGATCCTCAGCAAAAATGTGAAACTTGATCTTCTTGAGATTAAACAGCAGAGCTGACTTAATCATGGTGAGGGTCTCATCTAGACGGTCTCCACAAGCCACCACAGCCAAGTGCATGAACTCCCCCGGCTGGGTTTGCTTCCTCGCAGGTCGACCCACATTGCTTTGCGATTTGCTAGAAAAAGGACACAGATGAATGGAGGTGAAAGGTGTAATTTAATACCATATAAGGCAGGAAATGTATGGCAATTAACCCAAGCACTTTTACATTGAGATGAAATCTTCAGAATGCAGTGGAACAATCAGGGCAGGGAGATAAAAATGGACTCTATTAATCACACAGGCAATGTGCAGTTTTTTTTTTGCAACCCTGTCAGGTCTAAATGGGTCAAGGATAGGGCTGGGGTATATGGGGAAATATTGGATGTGCTGACAATTACTTACCTCACAGACCATGGTTCTACCACTCAGTACATTTATGGATGTACACGGTTAATCTGACCTTCAGTTTTAGTTAAAACTAATCAATTTAACCGGACCCCAGTTAATAAGTAATAAATATATTTAATAAATGTGACTTCTCATTTTAAAAGAATGCTTTTGCAGAAGCCTACAAAGGCACAACAGAGGGACAGGAGCTGCATGTATGGTTCTAATATTAATTTTGTCTATATTTTAACTAATCACGTGAACACCAAGATTCAGTACAGTATGTCTGAAAGACTCACTTTGAAATGAATCGGATGTGAGAACTTAGCAGTACGTCTGTCAGCATGACGTTTCTCGACAGTAACGGCACGTCATTCTGTCGTCTTGTAGGAATCGATGCAGTACAACTCGGGAAGCATGAAGATTGGACATTCATCATTCTGTCACATCGATTAGCTCCAGAGTCAAGGACTTCTCTGAGAGTTGTGACATTCGATGCTTTGACACATCGCACCACGCTAACCATCTGAGACACAATCCCACTAAAACCAGTCCTTTGTTCCAAACTCCCTGCAGGCCTTGTTGGATTAGATTACATAGAACTTCATTAATCTCTCGGGAGTTCCCTTTTGGAAATTACGGTTCCAGCTGCAATATAGCACTATAAAAAAACACACAGGAACAGAAACAAAGAACAAGACACTACTAAAAGGAGAATACAGAAGAGACAAATGAGCCTGAACACGTGTAAGCACATGTAGATAGTCAATGATTGCTGTTGAATATTGTTAGATTATTGGTATAATGCTATTGTAAGAGTTCTCATACAGTATGTATTTATATAGGTATAGAAACAGTTAAATAAACATAAATGTGTATTTATTAATTAATATAATTAAACAATGTAAATATATCATATATAAATAGCAAGATAAAATGCACATACATACACATACATATATTTTTATATATGTCTAAATATTTACATGATAACAGTCAAGTATAAATGTACGGGTTTGTGGTTATTGCACAGATTTTTATGGATCTATTGCTCTCTCTTACCCACCAGTCATTTGCGCCCCCTCAGTGAAGAGTTGAACAGTTTAATTGCCCGATGGACAAAGGACATCTTTAGTCTGTTGGTATTAGATAGGTCCTATCTTATCTATCTAATCTAATCTCTCTAGCTAATAATTATAAATTTGGGGTAGCTCCTGATCACTACATGGCGCTGGCTGAAACAACATGTTGAACTTGAATATTTTCACAGCCGTACAGAGAGCAGAACACAGAACATTTTGTTCCAGTGTGTAGCACTTGCACTGTGAAAACAGTGGAAGGCAAATTGTTTCATGTCTAAAGGCGTTGCTTTCCAAAAGGAAAAATGATTTCCTCTGAGTCGCGAGGATAAACCATTTGAGCCAGTCGTAGGATTGAAGAGAAGCGTGAAATTCGACAGGTGGGAAACAAGGGAGGACTGAAGCTAGAGAAAAACAATGAACTGCAGATTAGGACATTAGTAAAGGTATTAAAAATCTGTCCAATCTCCAAGCTTCTATTCATCAGAAAACTCTCTTACTTTTAAGATTCCAAAAAATGTTAAATGTTAACATACTGGAAATGGTTTGTTGAACTGAATTGCAAAACATGACCAAAAAAAAGCCAGATTCTTCATTGTGTAATTGTCGGTCTGTGCACATGATGTTTTTTGTCGTGGCAGATTTCCCCACATCTGGAAACAGTCAAGAAAGCACAGAAGAGGGAAAGGAGTACATTTATAACTGGCTGCAGAGCGAGCGTGTGCTGACTGCGCTCTCTCTGCTGAAGTCCAACAAATATGTGCATGTATTGTTAAACAGAGCCGTGTTGTTTATTTCACTGGAATGCAAATGAGGCTGTATTAAAACATGTTCAACTTTTAACTTTGAACACATTTCACTGAAGACGAGGCTGTAAGTGTGCACTTGGGATTACATGCAGCAATTTGTACGTCTCTGAAGTTCAAGAAAATACAGGCGCTACTTCTCTGAGGAAGCTGATGCAACCAGAGATACAACGGCAAATTTGAGATGATTAGTCATGGAAAGACCATGACATGACCACAATCAGAATCATCTGGAAAAAAGGACAATGTTGTATGTTGTTGTATGAGTAACTAAAGAGAATGATCCCAAATAATCAGGATGTTGAGCTGAATCACCAACACCAAATATTTATCATTTGCAGTCACCAAACATGTGGTGAAGATTAAAGGGCATGTTCTAACTAAAAATCTTAAATCTAACAACAGAGTTGCACATAAATTTACCAATCTCACGGAAACCTATGGCATTTTGCCTTTATGTTGCCACACCCCACGCACGCTCTGTTAGCCCTTTTTTAGTAATAACTTTTAGTAATTTGTGATTAAATTTCAGATTAAAAATGTTAATAATTTGGCAGTCCTATTTAAAGAAAACAAAGGAGTTGTACCTATTGAACAATAGGTACTACTTTAAAGGTTAGAGACATTAACACCAAATATTTGGTTTGTTGTAATTCTTTAATCAATACCAGAAATCCCACCATGCTTGTACTCGGGCCAAATAGTTCTTCATGCGTTATTTGGTTCAATATTCAATCAACTTCAGCAGATTGCTCCTCAGTGAACCACGTAATTACTACTGTGTGACCTTAATCATCTCCAAGAGCTGAGATGCTATTTCTGCTTGTCAATTTTAACCAGCATTTACAGTTGTTTTGCTATGCAGTCTTTATTTTGGCATCTTTATCTTTTTGCTTTAGAAATTAAATGGCTTGCAATCTTTTGCTAAACAAAGTAAATTGGGTGTCTTAGCTTGCTCTCTAACTGGCAACAATTCCTGAACCATGAGGAGGGTAAGTGGTAAACTTGTCCTTCTTTCCTTGTTGTGCTTGCCTGACAAATCAAGATTTTGTTTTCAATGCATTTTATAGTGTGCACCACTTCCCTGGAAATGGGTTTTGTACTTGAGAAATGGTTTAGTATTTTATGGCATGGTTTGGCAAACACATTTGATCTCTAAAAGTTTTTCTTTACCCATAAAGAAAAACTTTTCATCTGTAATTTAACATCTTCTGACAATGGCCATGACTCACTCTCAACAATTCCTCACAGCACAAAAACAAACATTGCTGCTTCTGCAGCCAAGGCTCAGAGGAGCAGCCTCTCTGGTCAGGTTACACAGGCCAGAAGGGAGATTTTAAACTGCAGTTCACATTTCATAAGAGGTGAGGAGGGATAAACAGTCAGAATTTGTCCAAACTTAGAAATGCAAATTATAAATACTGAAATACTGCATTTGATCACCAAAAAAGTAAATTCAAGGTTGGTCAGCTGCAGTGTGATGGATGCAGCTTTTGTTTTGGCTTCTTTCCATTTTATTTGTTTTTTATTCCTCTTCAGGTGTTGCAGATTTTATTATCTCCAAATTTGTACGGTTGCTCCTTCTATTTTTGGCCACAGGAAGTTGTGTGATGTGTCAAGAGGAAATGATATGATTAGCAAAAGCGGGAACAAAAGCGCGGCTCTCAGGAAACCTGACTGACACTCCTATTTCCAAACGCCTGAGGCCTCAAAAGCGGATATCAGAAATAGAGATAAGGTACAAATCACTGCCGATTCCTACGACTTTTCTTTATTAATCAGATTGATGTAACTACCACATGAAAGCTATGTGTTAGTCACATACTGCAAAGTAGCTTTCTAACCAAGTTGATGTTTTTAAAAGCAGAAAGCTTTTGGAGCTTGTTCCAGGTGCTCCGGCTGTTCACTGACTGCAGCAGTCAGAACCAACCATTTTCCAAACCTGTTATGTTTTTTTAATGGCCAGCAGTGACCCCTTCTACCCCATCTCTCTTATCAGCGCTCAGCACACACGGGGGAATGTAGCTTCTGGGAGGACGTAAAAGTCCTTCCTCAATGTAACGCCTTGATGGCTTTTATCTGCTAAACATTGTCCCCATCCTTCAGCAAGTCTTTGGAGTAGAATACATATTACTGTCTGTCGGTGGAGAGGGTATCTACACAACCACATTGTGGCTGCTGTGGCATCGCTGGCATTCAACCCCAGAGGAAACGAAATAAGGAAGGTGCTTCTATCCTTGGACAGAAATGGTAACACACGGTAAAGCTCCTCTGCCTTTAAAAATGAAGTGTGTGTTCGTTCATTGAAAGAATCGACAGGATGCAGCTGCTTTCTAATCTCCCAACAAAAATAAATAAATAAAAAAAAGATGCCTGACCTGACATCGTGTTGCCCCAAGACAAACAGAAACAGGTTTTCTATTTATGTATTTTTTACATATCTCGTCAGTGCTGGTGCAAAACAGTTCCAGAGACAGCCATAGGCATTGTTTTTTCTTTAAATGTCTCTCTACTCAATGTCTCAGACAGGACTTAAAAAAAACAAAGACCTTGCAAAAGAGTAAAAAAACAAAAACAAACAGTGTTCGTGCAATTGGTAGAAAAGTAACAATTCCTGCAAAACACGTCAACACGCATATTTCCTTGCTTTTTAAGTGATATCAAAAACAACACAGTAAGGCTGCCACTTGTGACCACATCAGACATTCTGAGTAGAGATTCCAGAGAGGATTATTATCAGGTGCACTGTGAGAATGCAGCAATTCAGACAAAGGCAAAGAAATTCATACTTTGTTCTTTTTCCTTAACACCTGACAATACACCTTACAAGTAAACACATCAATGCACCAAGAATGAACGATGCACACAATGGTAACAACACGGCAGTTATTATTTGATGACAGAAAAAAAACATCTAACAAATTTTAGAGTCTCCCAAGGGTTCTATTGAAGATCGGTGCTGCATTTTAAAATGGAAACTTGTTTTATTTTCATTTATGCAAGATATGCCTGCATTTTGGTTCCATAGTGCAGCAGTTAGTGAAAGTGAATTACTTAGTGATTGTGACACAGCACACAACAAAATGTGACCTCTGCTTTAACCCATCACCAAAGTGAACAGTGGGCAGCTTTAAGCACCCGGGGAGCAGTGTGTGGGGACAGTGCCATGCTCAGAGCACCACAGTGGTAACTTGGTACTCGAATCTGAAGCCTTCTGGACCCAAGTCCGCTTCCTTAACCACTAAGCCACCACTGCCCTACTAGCACTGCTGCCCCTGAAACAGAGAGTCCTGGGTTCGATAACCAGAGGAACCACATGCTTGGCTCCAGCCAGGGGCAGCCTGTTACAGCAGATCTGCTGTTAATACAAGAATTTCCCAAATATGGCATAACTAAAGTTCAAATTATTATTATTATTATTATTTCTGCAATGCCTGTAATTTATTATTAAACTTATTCTAAATGTCCATCAAATGCATTACATCAAAATAAATTTAGTTTTTTTCTGCATCTGTTTAAAAATAAATTAAGAAAACCCAAGCATAACCAATTATTTTAGCACCTTAGTGCCTTTTTTTTTTTTTCAACTACAACAATGATTGAGATCTAGAGGTCAGAGGATATGAGTTCTGTACTGCTGTTGCCGTATGACATTCTCTCTGCAAATACTGCAGACATTTGCACATAATCACATTAGTCATGGTCTGTGCTCACATCACTGCCAAATATTTACGCAGTGCCCTGATTGGTACAGTGCATTTCACTAGCCAAGCAACAACGTTGAAGAGTGGTCATAGGGAGCACAGGAGTGTCACACTGGACAATTAACAATAGCATTGTAAATGTCTATGTATCCACACTTAATAAAAATTCATGGATTTAAATGAAAATAATGGACACCACCAACAAGTGTCCATTGAGAATGCCATGCTACACTCTTTAAATTACTATATTAAGTGTGGTCATTAAAACAGAAGCTATCAAAACAGAGCACTTATCTGATGTGGAGCTTTGTCAGACTAGAAAATAAGAACTTAAGAAAAAAGATTTTAAAAATGTACAACCTTTAATCTGCAGTGTAAACATTACATATTGCTCATTTATAAACACGGATGTTTTTGCAAAAAGCAAATTATAAATATGTTCTGTAATAGGGCAGATCTGGTTGGACTTCACGGACAGTGGCTTCTGGCTCTCTGTATCTAGGGATGGTTGTTTTTGGCATTTGCCTCGAGCTCAGGTTTAAGTTATGGGACAAAGTTGCTCTGGAGTACGGGTTCAAATTCAGTATGAAACACTGCACTTGATGAATACTGCACTGTATGACATGCAAATTCCCACTGTTGAGAGAATTATGGAAACACATGTGCTTGCCATCAAGTGGGGGGGAGCAAGGTTAACTGAGAACCAGAAGGTCAAAGATGGAATTCCAGCTGCATAGCACCACGTCTCTGGACCATCATTTAACCCGTGGTACCTCATCATGCTCTGACCAGATAGGTGTCCAACAGAGATAAATGGGAGGAGTGAAGGCCATCTTGGCCAAAATGACATACATAGTGTTTGCTCTGGCACCGCCTCAAGCAGACGACAGTATGATTCGTGATCACTTCAGTCGGGGTTACCGTGACAGAAAATGGTCATCTGGTTCTGTACCTCAATAAGCCTAGTAACGTAGACAAATGCAGGGGAGGCAGAGTGATTGGAGCATCGCTGTAAATAGGGATGGTCCTTTCTGTGCAAGAATTGGTAAATATATATGATATTAAAAAGTATTTGAAATGGAATGAGAAGGAACAGGAAACCAACTGCCCTCACCTCTTTGCCTTCACGCTGCCCCCTCTACTGATCGCTTTATCCTCTCTCCGTGCCCCTGAACTCAACCCGGGACGCACACCGACCCCGACCGATGATTTATCGGCAAACTTCGGCGCAGCATCGCGTCTGTGCCCAAGAGTCCGCGAGTGGGAGTTGTTGTCCTTCACCTTTTCCTTGTTCACCTCTTTCTCAACTTTTTCTAACAGCGGATCGTCCGCTGCATTGCCCCCCAAAAAGTACAAAAGTAGAAAAACTCCCAAACACACGGCGACCACAACTATTTTGCAGTGGATCCTCATGGTGTGAGCAACTTCGGACGGAATGAGGAAGAGGGATGACGGTGCTCATGTCTACGGGGGAAAGACACCAACTCCGGGTGACATTTTTCCACTGTCCGCCTCTCGCGTTTTCCCCCAGATAATGATGTCGATGATGGAGTGCAGAAAGGAGCTGCTCACTGTCCATAGAGGATCACACGGAGGAGGAGTGGCTTTTACAACATTACCGTAATGGCTGAACGATTAATGCAAACTCAGGTTACAACATCAGAATTGCTTGTCTGAACAAATAACAGTTAATAAATATGAAGACGTCATTCAGTCATAGTTCTTAAATTCTGAACATAAAAATAGCCTTAAACACCTTAAACACAGACAGATAAGTATAAGTCAGTGAACAATAACGCTTGAATTCCTGTTTGCCCAGAACATAAAATATTTGGTTCTTAAAAACATGGATCTTGACATTCAGCAGCTCGACAAAGCTAAAAGTTACTCTGAATGAGGTTTGCTGCAGCAATAATAATAATAATAATAATAAACATTATGAGAGATGGTCAACAAGTCGCAGTGTAGTGTTTTAGCATACATGTATGTGTCTGAATATGTAAACCGACCACTGAAGTTAATTCAGTCTACAGCCATCTAAGCAGTGTGGCGCTTTGGCCCAGAGGCAATGTCTCTGTCATTGGTGTTGAAACCAAGGGTTCACCTTGTGGGCAAGATCGAATCCCTGTATAGGAGTAAAATAATAATGAAAAACTGTCAACATTTCTACTAAATAATAGGGAAGCAACACAAGTCAAGATAAAAGCCTAAATAAGCCCATAAGATAAAGGCTAATAAAAACATATAGGACTAGTAGACTAAACTAAAATTGTTTGACTGTTGTAGACTGTTGTAAAGATAAAAAACAAAAAAAGAGAACAAGATAATTTAAACAGTTCCCAAAGTTTAAAAAAATACTCGTGTAAAACTTTTTTGTGGGGTGTAATTTTTTGTTTTACAATATAAATTAGTACACTTGCAACGACTGGTTCACACACCGTGTCCTTCTGGGAAATCTGAGAACATTTGGTTGCGCTTCTTGGCTGTGTATTACGGTAAAACATGGACGCCGCATGTCAACGCTGACGGTGAGGTGTGTTGGAAGAAGTCATTGGTTTTCTGGTTAGTTACTGTTTATGTCTGTTTTAATTCAACAAATGTGAATAGTGTGTTTTTTGTTCGCTGACAGAGCGGTGACTTTAGCGACAGCCGTGTCAGTTTTGTGTGTGTTAAAAAGCAGTGTTTTTGAATGCGTTGTTGCATTTGTTAGCTTGTAGCATCGTAGTCAAAACACACGAGGAGTCACAACAAACCCATGATCTGTTGAAGTAGTTGCGAACAGGACATTTATTTTTAAACAAAGGTGCAAATATTCGTATTTACCTGTCTATTTAGACAACAGAGAGGCAGTGACGATGTCAGACATACGTCGCTGTAAATAAGCGACATCTCCGTAAATGTCACGCATTTACAATGCAGTTAGGAATAAAAAAACAATTTGATGTTTGATCACTTGAAAAACAAGTGATTTTCAGATATTGTTGCAGGGTTTTTTTAGCATTGCGAATTTACACGTTTACAGTAGAGTTTGACAATGAAGACATTTTTAAAAACGATGCATCATAAATGATATTATACAAACTAATATAAAGCTACCATAAAGAGTTTGTTTAAGTTGGCGCACCAAATATTCGGTTTTTTTAATCCGTAACATATGTAACCAGGGTTGTTTACATTCGTTTGCCATCACCGTGGCCCACGTGGGCTCAGGCTTCCTCCTCTGGACACGTGATCATCCCCAATAACATTTATCAGAGACAGCCACAAGGTGGCATTCATTAGTCAGCCGGTCTGTGAACTGTAATGCTGTGAAATATGGGATGGATTGATTAATTAATGAATGCATTTATTATTTCCAGCTCTACAGGTCAGATTATACATCAACATTCATCATGATCACTCCTGCTTTTGACCTGAGTCAAGATCCTGACTTTCTGTACCTCAGCATCCGTGTGCCCTACACCAGAACTTCAGAGTTCGACCTTTATATTGATGGAACAGATTTTAAATTTTATGCCAAGCCCTACTTTCTCAGGTAAGTCAAATGGCATACACTAATTTGAGATATGCCATCAATAGATGTGAATCAATTAGTCTGGATAGCTGTACATTGTACCATTGTCTGTTAGGCTTGCAGAGTGATCCACAACAACACACACTAGGAAGGATTTTCAAAAGAGAATTTGCTAAACAGATATTATAAAAAGACATTTAAAACCTTGACAGGAATTGCAGTTATTTCAGCTGTTAAAGGCAGACTTTCATCACTAAAATTTCATATTAAATCACCTTTAATAAAAGTTGTGAAAATATCTCGACTATGGCAGAATTTTAGAAAATTTTGAAATTTAGATTCAGCTTGGTACCCCTGGGTGGGCTCACCCCCAATATTAGGAACTGCTGATTTAATCAAATCAGTCACATTCAAGGCACAAATTAGACATTTGTCATCTCTTCAACTTTGTGTTTTTTCAGATTAACACTTCCAGGAAGAATAGTGGAAGATGGAAGAGAAAAGGCCACATTTGACATTGATAAAGGTTAGTCCTGTAATTATCACATAATAATAGCAGGTACTGCCAAAGTCATATTTCACATTAATACATTTCAGTACTTGTACAAAAAAGTTCCATCATTCTCTGTTCTTGAACAGTGTTCACAAACACAAATGAGTACTGTTGCCCCTGCCATCTCATTGAAGAGCCAACAACTAACAGCAGGGGTGTCAGATTACATCACCTCACATTTAAAATTAAAAATATTTCTAATAAGAAAATAAGTTCTAAAAACTGTTCTCATAAAAGCTGTGGATTGTCTTGAATAAAAAAGGATACAATAACTGCAGCTGAGTGTTTGATGGCTAAATTGAAGGATACATTTGAAGCTCCTTGTTATTTTGGCATGTTGTAATTTCCAGCCCTGCTGGAGTGGATTGTCTATGATTTAAAACATTTACATATAAAAACTATTTCACAAGATGGTGTATTGACTAAGTTGCTGTAAGAAAGAAAAACACACTGAATAGCAAAAGTATGAGGAATATTTTCTCAGTTAAACCCTGTCAAGACTTTCAGACTTTCCAGGAAAAACAAAATACATTGTTGCCATCTATCGATATGTAAATTGTCTCAGTGGTGATCAAGATGCAGCCCGTGTTTTCACCTTTCATCACTGTCACTTCAAAATAATTCCCTGCCTGATGCTCTATTTCTTTTAATACCATGGCTAAAATGTACAAGAAAAAGTCTGATCACCACTAGACTACAGAGAACTGTGGAGTGTTTTCTTAACATAGTTGTTGAGCAGTATTGTTTTCTGGAATTTTTCATCAATTTGTGTAATTTATATAAATCCAAATCACCTCTGTCACCTTTCTCAGCGACGTTATGCTCTTGTGTGCCCACTGATTTAATGTAGAGCCATATTTTAATGGTTGGCTCTTAAGGAGTGGCAAATAAACAGGATAAAATAAAATTATATGGCCGACATTAAAAAAAAAACACAGTCCTTAAAAAATACAACCTATCGTAATGTACCTGTGGAACACCCCCGAGCCTGTTATCTGCTACAGTGTCTTCTCTGTCTGGTCATGTCCTGAGTTTGTTGTTGTATAGCTGTCTCTGCGGAAAAACTAGCTTCTCAAAGTTAAGATGTTTGAGAACTAATGCAGTTTTTTTTCAGTATTTTTGTGGAAATCTTGAATACAAATTAAACCATGAGTGAAGTCAATTAAACCTATTCACTGTTCATAGTTAATGAGCCCCAGGCAACTTTTTTGTTTAGTACCAGATTTCTGCAAATGTGTGATGTCACTGGTTAATAAGACTCGCACAGAGGTAAAAATGTTCAGGTGACAGGTAGGAAACAACATATACAGAAATATCAGCACCCGTTGTTACTTAGCAACTATTAAAAGCACTGCTGTAAGTGACGGGCCAGACACTGCTGCCTGACCCTGGAGCTGAGCTCCAGTAGCTACCAGGGATTGATCCCCGGGGAGTCTTTAGTATGCACTTCAACCAATGGACCAGAGTAAATGAACCTACTAATCATGTTCTGTCATCCCGTTTAAGGAGCCCCTGGAACCAACTGTTATGTTGTAATCGTTACAGCTGTGTGCGGTGTCTCCCATCATGGATTCTGTGTTGCATAGCTCATAGTGAATTTTCATGAACTCTAGTATAGGCTAATAAAATACTTTAATGACTATTAGTTTGATTCTCAATATTGTCTTTACATCAGTCTCTGTCATTCTGGGGGGTTTTTCTCTCTTGCGTTTAATTAGTTCTAACAACGTTGTCTTAGGGAGACGTGCACCTTGTGGTGTCTGACAGGTCCTTGTGCCTGTCTGTCACTGTGGCCCCAGTTAACACACTGTGTCTAAATAAGCCCTTAACATCTGCTAATAAAGCGCTGCTAATGAGTGTCCTTGTTTAGACTTATAATGAGCTGTCATTAGCCTCTCCATTCTGCACTGCTTGCATCTCCGGCAGTTTGTCAGCCACCCGTCGTAAAGCACCTGAAAGCATTAACACTTGGCCACATTTAAATTTTACAAGGTCTTTAAGCTAGCGGCAAAATATGTTAACTATGTAAACAAATCATTTTTAATAAACTTTTTTTTTTTTTTTACTCAGCAAATTCTTTATTTTTGCTGCATGAGAAGTTTAGGTGATTCAGTGTATCCTCTGATAATTATAGTGTTTATTTCCAAATATTAGTACTTTATGATAAAGTATTTTGTTATATTCACTATTTATTCCTTCCCTTATGTACTGTTTAGTAAAGAGATGAGTGTGTCAATTGCTTTGGATTTTTAAATATTTTATTTTATTTCTCTCCAGTCTAAGCATGAACACTTTAGATTCAGTTTCACATGGATGTTGGTTAAAACTCATCTCTCTGTGACCTTGCAGGTCTCTTCACTCTTCAGGTCTCCAAGGAAACACCTGGAAACCATTTTGAAGGACTTCAGATGCTGACGAGTCTTCTTGCCCCTAAGGGTTCCCGATCAGCGAAACCTTTAGTGGAAGATGTGGACCCTGGTAAGTTCTTACTGCTTAAACAGTCATTTCAAAATTAACTGAACATCTGTACAAACTGTAAAGTAACCCACTGAGAGTTAGTTTATTTACCCTTGTTGTTTTTGTGCTGTATTACGGTATTAGGGCTGTCAAATGGTAACAGGTATGAATTGGATTAATCACAAGTGGGAATTAATCACCTATGCATTTTGTTTAATACAAAAACAATATTTAAAAAAATAAGATCAGTTTGGGAAACATACAGAGCCTTTTCTGTATTTTAAAAGGGTCTAGTCAAAGTGTAGAAGAAGATGAAGAGGAAGAAGAAGAATTTGACTGGCAGGTGGAGCAGGAGGTGTACAAGGAGAGCTCTGAGGAGGAGCTGGGAGCTCAGCAAAAGTATGGCTTTGCCAATCAGAGGTCTGGGGTCTTCGCCAGATTACAGGTAAAAAGCTGCATAAGAATTTGATCCCGACTGTATCAGCTGTGAGTGAGAAATGAGTGTCAAATAGAATGTGTTTTTGTTGTGACTGACAGGCAGAACTCAGTGATGTGATTGATATTGAAAACCCAGAAGGTACAACAGCAGCTGAGAGGAAACGGTCAAGGCAGGAGGCCGAGGAGTCTGCATTTTCAGCAGACCACTATCTGTAAGTCATGGAAAAAACCTTATACCCTGCTGAAGTTTGTCTATGCAGCTGTTTTTTCCTGGAACCTTTTAGCTAATCAATATCCATGTGTCACTGCAGCTCTGATCTGTTCGAGGATGATGACATTAAGAGACTGCTGAAGTTTAGACCCTGGTGGGCAAAACTGAGTTCTGCACAAGATCTGGAGGGAGAAGCTGGTGAGTTTACCTAATCCCTCTGTGACATTTTAAAATATGGATGAAAAACCGTTCAATCTCATCGCCTTCAAAGTCCAACATGCAATATTTTGATCCTTGAATTATCAGGAAACAAATGTCACATAAATCGTCCTGTCGTGTTGATAACACGCCTTCTATATGAACTGTTTTATTTGAGAAAACCTTGGCCATGAATTGTAACTGTTCTCACAGTGATGTCAGTCTGACATTTTTATTTTCTTACTCGTCTCAATTAATCAACTCCTGAATGGAGGAAAAAATCATCTCAGTTTATCTTCCATACAGACTTTCTGCTAAAAACTGTCTATGCCGTTAGTTACTGGAGCAGTTACCGAGAGCCACCAGGAGGTGGCATAAAGTTGCAAAAATTCGGAGCGCATTCAAGCGTTGCCCGTGTTCACCAAATTAAACAGCAAATTCACCTCTTAATTAGTCTCTGTTTTCAATTAAAAAGCACTTACATTATTATTTATTTATTTGCTCAGATGAAGAACACTGATTTTGTCATTAGTGATTAATTCCTGCCAGTCAATGCAGTTTTGTGTCTGACAATATACAAATGCCCACAGGGAGGGTGAGTCTTGTGTCACGGTCAGAGTTGCTCGTCCTGTTAAACAGCCTCAGGGCATTTAGGTCAGGAACAGGACACTTGTCATTAAAAGATATTAAACGTGGGCCATTCCCTTAGTAGAGTGTTACTCTGGTCCCTCTTGGCCAATTTTAACTGCTGATGTAAGAAGTGATAACCTTTTAAAGCACGTCTATGTCTTTTATTTACGATACATTCTTCTGACCAAAATGATTGTTTTCTCTGGGGTTTTTTCAACCCCTGTCTTTTTTCAATCATTGACTAATTTACTTGGCCGAGGACTGTTTGTTGGCAGAAGCCTTCCAGCTGCACCCCTCTGTTAAGCCTCCTGTATGAGGTCAACAGCTGATGAGGTTTCGGCAGTGCTACAGACTTTCTAATCATGCCGTATAGCCCCACTGACAGCCTGGTAACTCCAGCACTTCCACTGGTGGAGCAAGCACCTGGCTCACAGCCATAAGCTGTGTGTGGATCATGGGAGCCGTTCATTTGAGAGAGGATTTAGATGAAACAGATAGCATCATGACAGAAGGGAAGGAGACTGTAAGTGTTTCCTCCAGTACCAGGCTCTGGCTCCTGACAATCAGCCATCAGTCAGAAACACAAAAACCATTAGCTTTACTCTTAAACTCAGCCTCCAAAGAACATTACAGTCCTCAGTAGCTGCGCTGGCTCCCTCAACTCATTCTGCATTCTAAGACAGAGCGCCTCAGTCAGGAGCCCAGCTGGAGATAGATGGGCGTAATAAACTTAATGGCTTGATTGACAGCTGGAGACATGAGCCACGGTGCGGTGTAAAAAATGGCGTGGGTCATGAGATTTAAGTGTCCATCAAATCCTAAAGGCATTCTCGTGATTTTAACCGTTTGTCATATATCTATTATGGTGAACTTCAACTCAGCCACATGGATTTTTAAGCTTTCACTTCATCTGTTTCTCCTATGCCTTCACTAAGTCTGATGGATATGTCACCTGACAGATGGATGTGGTCAAAAGTGCAAATGAAGTAGAAAGTATGCCCTTTGTCCTCTGTGGTGTCAGAGCCAGCTCACTGACAGACAACAGCTGCCCACTGCAGCCCTGGAGTCACACACTGGTTTAGACTAAATGGTCTTGACAGCCCTCTCTCTTTATCTGCTCCACTTTGTTATGGCTAAGTTTGGAAATCCGACCTTTGACCAAGATTGTCTAACCAAGGTTACTCTTTGAAAAGACAGGATCAGTATAAATATCAGATTGATTTGTACTTGACCCAATCACAGTGTGTGCATGCACAGAATTACTCATCACCTGGACAGGCCAGAACACTGACCTCTTGCATTTGTAAAATTCCATGAGCGTTTCTAACCCTTGGCAGTATTTTGACGAAGCATATTCACTTCATGCTACGCAACCATCTGGACCTGTGGTGAGCACTGATGAGCCAGTCTGCCCTCCCAACTGGATGAATTAGGTCAAGAATTAATTTGCAAGCAGCAGAAGTCCACGCGGCTTGTTTATAAATACCCTCCACAATTGATCGACTCGACAGTGATGATGAATAAATGTGTTCAGTCACAGCTGCTCAGAAGACCTTTTCTCAACGTGCCTTAACTCGCTTCTCCTCACCTCACGTTACCTCTGCTTGTGCTGCAGACTCGATAGGACCTTTATGTTGCTGCTGTGTTAGTAATTTGTGTAGATTAGGAATCGGTGTTTGAATAAAGACTAAATCCCTCTTCACATGTAGCATTAGAAACCACTGCAGTGTATACAGGAGGTCTTTGACATAAGACGTCCTCAACCTACGGCATTTTCTGGTTATGTTGCTATCTCCCGTAGATTTATAAAGAATAAATGAATATGAGAATGAATATTCACAGTTCTTAAAAAGAAAACCCAGAAACCACTGTTTATAAAATGGTAGCGTTATTTACCTAGCCACAGCTGACAGAGCTTTATTATAGTGACCCAGTCCTTACTTTGAAGACATGTTAGTATGTATTTTGACAACTCAGCTGAAAGCATCAAGCTTGTGGTCACAGGAAGTCAAAATGATGTTGCCCCCTTCCTCCGACCAGCAGATCACCACAGTCAATTCTAAAAAGCAGCTACTAGGAAGTATTAAGTGAATAGCTTAAAGTAATAAGGCTGCTGGCACCAGATTAGCCCGTCAAAAAACCTCTAAATGATTTGAAGTGTACTCATTCCAATTGGGGGACCATCATAGAGTCACTTCCTCATCAAGTTTAAAAGGGAGGAGGAGGAGGGTGGTTTGGACAGCTGCCGTCTCAGATTTCAAATCCGTTCCTTAGACTGTGGTTTAAAATAAGTCATCATTCCACAGCAGCACACATAAAATCAAGACTGATCATATCTGACAATCAGGATGTTTTTTTTTACAATACAGAAAACAAATGTTCCTAACTACTTCATGACTGCTGTGGCAGACAGTAATAGACAATTGTTCATATATGTAGAAGAAGCCATTGATTCAGTTTCCCATTTTAAATTGCCATGATATTGATCACTTTTTTGTGATTAGTCACAATTAATTGAGATAACTCAATATTGCTAATTAAGACAAAACCTTTATATTGATGGAACAGAAAGATGAATAGCAGCAGGTAGAAGCCTGTGTTTCACACCTGTTTTTATTTTACATTTAATGTAGTTTTATCCCAGTGATAAAGATAAAACATTTCAATTACAAAAAGGTATGGCACAAACATTAATGCTAAACTAAAATTTGTATAGCAACTGTGTGTTTCATTTGCTTGTAGAAAATGTTTGAGTGTGTGTGTGTGTGTGTGTGGGTGTGTGTGTGTTGTGCGTTGTGTGTTGTGCTCAGTCGTGCTGTTGCGCTGTAGCTGCACCGATGAGGCAGCAACTGCAGAGAGCTGAAGAAATGATGTAATGCCGCGGGAATCTCCGAACCAGCAGAACTAAGTTCCCACTGCAGCCAGAGCGCTCATTGTGCAGTGCTGCCTGTGTATGTGTTTTCGTCAAAGAGATTTTATATTTGTGAGTCTGCTCCAACCATTACACACCAGTGTTTTTTGCCCATCAGGGGCTCAGAGCAGGGAGTCTTCTTTTCTCACACGGCGAGCGAGCGAAAATGCATTACAGGCACTTTAACAGATAAAGAGAAAACAAACAGTTGGGTAACAGCCAGCTCCGACAGACAGCCAGCTCACCTTTTTAGAACTGAAGAATGCAGATAGCTTCAATGGGATTAGAGTCTGTTTGTGTTGCTCCATTAGGCATGCCACTGATCCCCATTAAGCAGATGTCTCTTTCAAATGGCAACAGTTAGTAAATTTGATGAGGAGAGCAAATGGACATTTTAATTTGATAGAGCTGTTTACATGCTTACATTAGTGGTCTTTGAGCAATTAAATAGTAATGAGTTCACCTATGTTGCCTGTATGTGTACATCAGAGAAAACATCTGTGGACATAAACTCGACTTTAGCTCATGGAGCCTTTCCTTTAACTGGCCATTTCACTGTGTGTATCTGTTATTTCTTGGGTTGATGCATTCATTTGACTTTGTTGGGCATGCATTCTTACTTCAAATTTTCTCTGACATTTTAACATTGTCAGTGAAGCCTATTCTGTAGCCTCAGAAATGATGGTTTTCGTATAATGTCTGGCTAAAAAAACACTAGATGGACTAGATGTAAGAGGATCAGGCTTGTTATCAGAGGATCAAGGTTGAAATCCTGTCTTAGCCAAGTGTGGTGTGTTGGGTAAGCACCAAGATTTTTGCTCCCTGAGTTCTTCTGAAGGGGATCACTACTCACTAGGAATGTTTTTTTATATTCTGTTCGTACAGTAAATGTACAATATCAACAACTGACTGTTTTTCTGTCACATCTTCTCTTTCACTTCAAGCTGTTTTTTCAGGCGTCACCACAATGGACTGTTGTCCTACAAAACTCAAATGATCTAGAAATCATAGGAAATTTGCAAAAACAGTCCTCTCAGCTAACTCTGGAGTTTTAAAAATGTCTTATTTATTTGATATAACAGTTAGCAAAACCTGTTTCATCCCTTTTTTTATAAACCAACATTTTTTTGCATCTAATTTCACAAATCTGTGTTCACGTGCAGCTGTATCGTTCAACGCCATTTTTTTGCATCTAATTTCACAAATCACAGATTCACATGCAGCTGTATCGTTCAACGATGGTGAGAAGGAGCAGCTGAGGAAATTCACCAACCGCTCCTTTCTGCTGGACAAGACGTCTCGTTACCAAGCGTGGCTCGGCCTGGTCGACATACTGCTGGCTTATTGCTACGAAGCGCGCTCCACTGAGGGAGAGCACAATGTGAGTGAGTGTCTGTGTGCGGAGGAGACCCCTCACAGGCAGCAATCCTTAGATGACAAAGCCCTCTATCTCCAAATCCTTTAGGCCCCTTCCATTTCATTCAGAACCTTAAGAGATAACCGTCAGATCAGAGAGCTCAGTTTATGTCCCTCTGTCTTTTCTGCAACTTAGCTGACCCAGTAGCTGTGGACGGGCAGGATAAGATGGGCTGACATCTTTGATAAACATTTATGGCCTGAATGCTTGAAAACAATCATAAAAATATTGAATAAAGTAGTGTTCAAATTTAACACCAGCTTTGACAAAAAAGGTTTAAATTTGAATGCATTCCCCTTCATTTTATATTATGACATTTAACTGTCATTCTTGAAGTTAACAACCTAATAACTACTCATTTTTTTAACTTTTTTTATCTAATGGTGATCATCTCTTTTGCAGGTCGAGTCACCGTGGACAATCAGAAAGCTGAGTGGGACTCTGTGCTGGCTGGAGGTGAGTTGGTTTCATGGACTGTCACATTATCAACCTGGAGAGAAATGTTTTTTCAGCTGTAGTTCATAGCTCGTTGATGCCAGTCAACTTGTTACTGAATTAAAAATAAAAAACATTTCTTCATACATAGTGATTAGTGCAAGCTTGTTTTCTGCTCGTATCATAAATAGCTTTTTCTCTGTAACTCTTTCACTAATGTCTGTTAAATACAAGTCTGGCTTTTGCCTCATATAAATTGCGTATAATCCCTTGCCTGTTATTGAGGATAAATCCTTCATGTTTTTTAGTGCCTGAAATGCACTGTTGCAAAAAGTTAAAATACAAACTGTTCTTTTTCAAAAGGTGTTTAGTTTAGCGCTGCATTGGTTTGAGTGTTTAATGGCTTCTGGCGTCTTTAAAGCAGCATTAGCGACTCCATCAGATTTGATTTTTCTTCACTTCTTTCCTTTCTGTCCCAATTAAGTGAGACATTTGTACACAAAGTTCTTGCTTCAGTCAGCCTCCATTTCAACTTTTTTTTTTTCATTTTCCACACATTTCCACTCACCCGTCCTTTACATATTTCCTCTGGTTTCGTCATCAAGATAGAAACCACTGAAGCATTTCTTAGTGCAGGTGCTTGTGAACAGATGGAGCTGGTTTTCAGAGTGTAGCAGATGTGAATTCAAAACATATGTCAGTACATCTTTATAACACTCTCCTGAAAAAGTAGAGACAGAAGTGGTGCTGTGCTCATCCTAAACACAGACGCTGCACCATTGCTTCCTAATGAAACATGTAAAATATTTTTTATGCTTTAGTTATGGATAGATGCTTATTTGTCTGGACCACAGAAATCTGATCCTGTAGATGGTTTCTGTTAATGGTCGTTTTTCTCATCAGGAATCCTGGTTAGTTAGTCTGTCTCTCCGCTTCCTAATGAAACATGTAAAATATTTACATTTTTTTTAGAACATTTTCGGTGTTTTACTTGTTAAACAGACGTAATCAGATAACTTTATACTTGGCTGGATGTAGTCTTTGGAAAATTGTTAATGTATTTTCTGATAAGCCATTTCATCTCTTTTCTGTCTTGTTCTTACGCCAACATACACAGATGTCTATCTGGGATGTGTTTTCATGCATCGTTTTTTTTCAGGTTCTCTTATTCCCTCTCAAAGTCTGAGGGGATGTAAATTAGGGATTGTTTTGTAAGCTGCGTTTTGGCTGTTCTTACTTTTCATCCTCAGTTCCAAAATGTTTTCATTATGGGTGTAACAGAGAAAATAAACTTCAGACTGCCAGAAATGAATAAAGAAAGCTTTAGTAAAGGCAGCCTGAACACAGCTTACCTCCTCTGAACATGAGGCGAAAAAGACTGGTTTAAGAACTAAACCAAAGATATTTTGGACTTTGTTAATACGATGACATGGTCACAGGTTGACACTGATTAAATATATTTAAGTTTATATCACAAGTTTACTTGTGTAATGAAAGTGTGCAAAAATGAAATGAACAGCTCAGGCCATTTAACAAGCCTGAAATTTGATCTCCAGGGAGTTGTCACTTGTTGGACTTGGCACATCACCCATGTAAAAGCAGGAACAGGTGTGTTCTAACACACAGAGTAAATAATAGATGGTGTGGGAGGGTAACTTTTGTATGCATTAGAAGTGAATCGTGCATTGAAAACACTATACATTTCAAATATAGCAGACATTACACGCCTTCTTGGCTGCAGTATTCAGTTTTACCCAAGTGTATATGAGCTATGTTACATTTCAGGGTCGTTAACAGAAAGTGAACCAACTTTCATTCCTTACCTGCACTGCAGTTAGTTCAGCTTAACAAACCTTTCATCGCTTCACACTGGCCGTATTTCATGGATGGAGTTTCCCTGGTCAGGCTGTATCATTCCTAAATCACAGTGACTATTACACTTTCACATTCCACACGTTGACTATAAAATTGCCACAGGGAGTTCAGTCATTAACTCTGTAAGAGGAGAAACTGTAAAGAGCAGAAAGCTCCTTTTTCATCCTGGATGAGCAGAGACATGGACAACATTTTAGTTAGTTGCTTTGGTATTATTTCTATGTATATATGTATCTATGTGTACGTGCATATACAGTATGGATATATGTATATTGATATACATATATACATGAATAAATATATATATGTGTGTGCTCATTCAATCATAGTATGATGAAAGACTAGATGATGAAAAAGGGAAAAAAAAAAAAACATCAGAATCAGCCCAGGTGTCAGTGCATCCCTACCTGTAATGATAATAAAAGTAAGTTATGGTCCAGGTAGTTTGAATACATTGTAATGAATCAGGTTTCACCTACACAACCGTGCTTTACTTGTGAACTATAGACACAGTTATAAAAGCCTTTGAACATTACAGTGCAGTTTCCCACATTCACTTCTAGATGATATTGATGATGATATTGACTGCGACCTGATTATGAGCTGTGAATGTAATTACTTTTGGTAACAGTTGTGTTTTGTTTCACCATCACATCAGTCTCACAGCAGAAATCATTGATCATGCACTGCTGTTGTTGTTTCCGCTTAATTGTTCACAGCTTGCAAGCATCCTGTTTACTTTATTGTTCTCATACACGTCTTCAGTGTTTCAGGGTTGGAAGATTACCATTGTTCATAGTAATAAATTCTATAATTGTACTAAGAAGACAAAACTGTCTGATTTCACCGTGTGGATTATCCTGGGCCACCGTTGTTGGTGTTTTGGAATTTCAACTCCGTGTGCAAAAGATGATGAAAAAGGGAGCTACCTTGTCTTTTTTTGTACCAATGATTTACAATAAAATGTTTCTGGCAACAAAAAAGTCAGGTAAAGTACTAAGAATATATTTTGTTAGGAGAGCAATTCTAATAATCTTTCTCGATTATATTATATGCTCAATTGAAAACAGTGGAACATTTATAATAGTAGCTGCTGTAACTGTAAATTGCATGCATTTTAAAACATAAAATATACTACAATTCTAATTGTGGTTTGCACATGTAGCTGTATTCTTGACATATAGTATGCAGTAAGTACATCTAATATCATACATTTCTTAAAATGATCAGTTAAAGTAAGAGGCCCAATGCCTTCTTTAGTTCCTCCTTCTTGACCTTGACCTAACTGTGAGAAGAAGCACTTGTTTGTTGCTGTATTCTAGTCACAGTAGAGTGAGGATTGACATCCACCTGCTTGGCAATGAGTCACTGCAGAACCTATCAACCCTTATTGACAGGCCGCCTCGACCACCCCGTCTCACCCTTCCTCCCCTTCCTCCCCCTTGACTTGTCTTCTCGTTTGGTTTTTGCTCCACAGTGGATTCCTGTGTCTTTGTTGGTCTGTATGTCAGGCTGATATCCGCTCTGCTTCATTCTCCCTCTGTACAACCTCCTCTTTATTCTGTCACTAACTGCATTTCTCGCCTCACTTATACCCAACTTTCTCCTTCCCCCTTCGATCCAGTCACCCCCCCGACCCCCCCTTCTCCATCTGCTCTATGTTTACTTGTCCTCAGTTGACTGCACTGGTGTGACTGAAGGTCCCCACTACCCTTCTACCCAACAGCACTAGCAGCAGCAGCAGACCTTATTTACACTACTACAGAAAGAGCTCAAGGGAGTGCACAATCCCCTCAGACACACAGACTGACACACACACTCACACACACACAAGCCCACAAACACATCTTTAACTAACCAGGAAGAAAAGAATAAATGAGGGGTAAAAAAAAATCTGTTTTTGTCTCCAGGCTGTGTGTCCATTAGTGCAGAGAAAATCAGAGAGCGCAGGCAGTGATTAAAGGCAAGCAACAACTAATTGGCCTGGGCTGTAGAGGTGTTTTAAAGCTGTGAGCTCCTGTTTTGCCAGCTCCGTAATTGAGGGTTTGTTGAGCGTAATTAAAGCAACAAACAACTGTCATGTACTCCAACGGCAGCCAGAATTCAGAATCCTTGTTACAAACAAAAAAAAAGAATTATAATTAAATTATCATTAGTCATCCTTCCAATTTGTATTATCTGTGCATACGTATGCATTGTAGTGGTACGTGGATTTATCCGGAACCGTATAATTGTATGTATATGTTTATACACGTGACACAAAATGTTTTTCTAGATTATAAGCTTGGTGACATGTCATGTCTCGTACCAAATAGTTAGTTACCCTGTGTATTTGTCTTCTACAGACATACTGCTCCGTACAGGAAGTCCTGGTGTCTTTTGGGCGTAGGGTGTTGTGTTACCCCCTCTACAGACACTTTGGATTGGTCTCTGCAGCAGTGACTGACACAGCTACTATTTTGCAGTCAGGTGAGTATCACCGGAAGATGTCTAACTTGAACATTAGTAAAACAAAGCTGAAAGGAACATTTGCAAAATGCAGAACTACTTGTCGTCACGCCGACACTTCACCAACTCAGTGCTATAAAAATATTTCATTTTTATATACTTTCAAGGTTTTTTTCTCTCTTTCCTTTTTGCTCACACTTGTGAAAGCCTAATCAAACCTTTAGTGTTGAATAATTTCATTCCACTGTTAGTGTAAACTAAGTCGTTGCTAATTAGAGTCTGCTGTCTGTACAGAAAAAATGGAATGTGCTTAGATTGTAAAACAGCCTTTTGGAAGAGAAGAAGAAAACAGTCAGTGCATCCTGATACATTTAAGGCAAAATTGCTCCAACGAAGCAGGAGACTCGTGTCCCTCCATGGCAGTGGAATAAAGATTAGTCATGAACGAGCTATTGACTTGGATATGCTGAAGTGATCTTTAACTCAAAAGCCCCAGTGATCTGATAAAACTTTGCAGCGTAAACACGTTCAGGGTATGTTATGGCTCCGATTATCTTTCATGTGATTACTTGAATGCTGTTAAATTGAGGCAAATTTAAGGCGGTTTTAGCTGCAGATTAGCCTTTCTGCACATTGTTAAATCGGAAGATAAGTTAGTGGAGCAGAAAATCCAGAGAATCCAACCACATGCACCAATTCCCCTGATGTTTTTTCTTCAACAATATAAATAGACCTGTTTTCCAAAAGACATTTTCTTGTTTGTTATATTTTAACTGATCCTGTGAAACTGCGCAGTTTTGACATCATCATGATTAGAAATGATGAGCTATTTGTACAGTGAGGGAAAAAAAGCTTATTAGATCATGATCATTTTCCCACCGTTAACCTCCAACTTCTAGACCAATTAAAAATATTGGCATCGTGAGTGTCTTAATGAACTGTAAACCTGTAGTTTTTTCTGCCTGTGTGCATTTGTAAGTGGCTTTTTCCCTCGGCCATATTAACGTCAATAATGAGTCGGCCTAATGGGAATGCATGTGTTTAGTTTGTAACACTTGACATAAGTGGCTGTGAAAGCAAACAATTACAGAAATGAGTAAAACAAAGTCATTATGGGCAGCACACAGGTTAAGACCTCGGAGGGAATTCAATCTGGAGGTAAATATTTGAACAGGGCTCCTGCACGGTGGTGAAGTATTCTTAAGGAGTACCTTCACCTGCCTTGTGTGACTCTGTTAGGTAGGAGCCACCAGAGTGTGTGAGAACTTAGAAACTGTTTTTTATATATATATATAAATTCTAAGGTCTGAGATCATATCCAGAATTTACATTTTGAGTCTTGACTTTACCCCAATTTCCTCATTAACCTTAGACTTTTATGGTGCATCCAACCCTATATGTATGAGGATAGTCGCACATGGAGGAATATCTGACATATTGTATGGAAACTGCATAATCCTGCCGTAATCCAGCTACTGAAAACACAAATAAGAAAAATGACCTCTGCCACAGCTGCATACGGTTTATTTACTTAATTCCTCAATTCCTCTTCTCTCTGTCTATAAGCTAAAAAAACAGGATTATTACTTCTTTAGGCGCTTTTAAAAAAGCAAGCAAAGAGAAATCATATAATTAAATATTTGACTCCTTTGAGAGATACGGTCTGTGCACAGAATAGACCCATTTCTCTGTGAGGCAGTAATTTCAATTTTCATCAGTTTAAAATAAATCCTCTCCCAGGGATGCTGTTTTTAAAACTCCCATGGTTACCCTCTGAACAAGTACTTCGAAGATTATTCCTTAGTTTACAAAGAAAAACAAACATCATTTAAATAAATGGAAAGTGTGATTCATATCCTTGACTCAGCCAGAAATCTTTTTTGTTTTATTGTAGTGTAGCCATAGAGACGTGTGTATCAGAACTGTCCATCAATCTATTATGATAGTAGCCAAATGAGTCCAGGCTGTTTGGGCCATAAATGCTGGTGCTAATTCAAATTCCAGCTGGAAGTAGTTGGATTGATGTGTGGGATTTATGATACAAAATGCAGTCAGTATGTGTGTGTGTGTGTGCGTGTGTGTGTGTGTGCATTGTATTCAGTAAACACCTGTTAGGACACATCCCTCAAGGTTCTTGAAAAGCTCTTCAGTGTTTGTTTTAGTTGTTGAACTGTGTTATAATTTATTTGTCAAAATGAACAATTCTAAGGTGACAGTAAACATCTCTATCAACAAACCCTAATTTGAATCCAGTGTAAGATGTTTAGTAGTTTCACAGATGCATCTAATGCTGTGTTTTTCTTGTATCAAGTCATTTAAAATGGGTAGAAAAAAAGATCCTGACCAAAGAAAGAAGTCACAGCTGATGCAGTTGCTAATGAAGTTGGAATCTCTCACAGTTCCATGACTTAATCCAGCCACAAGGTCTTTGTCTGAGCAATTTTAAAGATTTAACTGGCCTAATGTTTCAACACTTTTTAGCACTTTTAACATTGATGCTCATTATATTATTGGACATTACATTACTGGTGATGAAGCAAGGTGAGGAAAAAACTGCTGAGCCTGTGCTTCATTGCAAAGAGGTCAGTTCAAAAGGTCATGACAGTGGTTTTCTAGGATTCTGAAAGAATAATTTGAATAGACTTTCTCATAGGACAGAGAACAGTTACTGCTAGTTATGATTGAGGATTTAGTTTTGCTAAAGCTGAAGACTACATTGGCAAAAAAAGAAACAAAATTGCTCTGAAAAACTTTGCTCCATCATGATAAGTCACAGATACAGACACGTAGGAATGATAGACCAATACCAATATGGGTTTAGTGTCTTGTTGCTCTCATTGGTAGTTGTTTACCGTTTGGAAGTACCGTAACAAAAATTGTTGAGAACTAACATTCAAGACTGAAAGGGATACATACAGTGCTGACTTCCTCACTTGACCTCTTTCCTATCAATCAGACGAGGAACATTGCTCATACTTGCTGGCATTTTCCCAAGAATCCCACAGTTTATCCAGGGCAGAGACTGGAATTGTACTGTTCTTCTAACAACTTTACCATGAAAAAGTCAACATTTTTAAGAGTGTGTGTTATTCTTTCCCAAATGAGCCAAGTCCTTCCAAGTCTTTCAGGGCAGAGTTCCCTGCATCCAATCCCTTACTTAAACAAGAACCAAATGTTTGCTTTAGGTTTTCCTTGCTTCAAGTGCGCAGTTTATTTTAATTGCCCTGGAATGTCTCTGGACAACGCCAGCAAACTCTTCAGTGTTGGAGAGAGAGGCATTTTTGTCTTGCCCTCAGTCGATTATTGGTCACATCTCTGGGTTATTTATATGTCTGACTGCAGGGAGAAGGGATGTGGGAAGTTTGGGAAAAGTCATTTTTCAGAATAACAAATTAAGATTCAGTGCACGTGTGACACATTTGTGGTGTTAAGTGCTGGCTAGAATGTCTGCCAAAGCACAGGTGACGGCCATAAACCATGTTATGATTACACCTAGTAAACAAATGAATATCTGATGGTTGAGCTGTTTACTGTGAATTAGGCTAGAACGCCAGGCCGTGTTGTGTGTCATCAGTTACATAGTGAATAAATAGATGAAAACACACCAGGTTCCACAGAGGGCAACAATGGTAGGACTTGGCTCTTTATGCCAACAATTGTCCTTCACTCATAGACTATTAATAAAAGGTGGTCATACCCTGTTGGTCTTGTGTGTGAAGCAGTCTGGAAACATCTTTGTCGCGCTTGGTTTTGTGGGAGAAATAGTAATGAGGCTTTATTTATCTTTTTAAGGCTTGTGCTGGTCTGTGGTTTATTCTGCTTCAAGAGTATATTTTTATATATATTTTTATAAAACTAATTACATTTTTACACATTTATTCTCCACTCAAGTTACCAAAAATTACATCACCTCTGCACATTTTACACATTGGATATACCCAGGCTAGTACCTGCAGTAAAGACAGACAGATGCTGAAAAGTTTGATTAAACTGTTGTAACACTGGTGGTTGATTTGGTTTTGAGCTACAAAAACCGTCAACATATAAAAGGTATTCCAATAAAAAAAGTTTTTAGCTACAAATAAACATGTACATAAAACAGTATCTGAAAATCTTTTGGATATTTAACTGTTTGTATACCATTTATAGCTTATTTCTTTTACATTTGTTTACTGTCGGACACCATTGAATTACATGTGGGATTTTGGAGATGTTGCTCAAGGCACATACAGTTCAGAGTGAACTTAAAAACAAGTGTTTTTGGCATGAGATGCTGGTGTTTATTCAGTGGCTGAGGTAACATAGTGATCTGGTTCGTCCTCCTTCTGTCACATCATCACATTATGTTGCACAAGCGCAGAAGTATTACCTCAATCCAGGACATTTTAATCACATTACACAGACCAAACAAAACATACAGACTCAAATCTACAAGGCTTTCTTCAGGTCTTCTGCAGTGATGTGACACAAGCAAACATATTTAAGGAATTAAGAGGCTTTAGACTGAGCTGTACGACAGATGGGAGTCAATTACATACATCGCAGCCAGACTCTTCAAGTACAACAATGATGTTTTCACGAACTTTCAGAAGAATACTTTTACCAAACTGAATCATTGTTTGGTTTTGTTTTTTTTAAAGGTTAACTGAATCATTGTTTGGTTTTGTTTTTGTTTTTTTTAAAGGTAGTAGAAGTTTTAATGCTGATCAGTTAAAAACTTAGACCAGATTAGAAAAAGATCTCAAACTAGTTCCTGGAGTGCTGCATGGAGCCAGAGGGCAGTGGTTTACACACAGTTATTAGAGAGCTTGCAGCAGTTCTGAACACTATTGACATAACTTGACCTCCTATAAGAACAGTCTGATGGAGTTCTGTTTTCATTGACTACTGTGTCTCTATTGGACTGTTTTCATCCTTTGGGTCATATTTTAAATCGGCAGATTCTTTTTCTGTTTTAGTGCTGAATGTTGATGGTCTCTCAGTTATAACATCATGTCTATGGTGTGGGTACTAGGAGCCAGAGTAAATTGTCTTTATTTTGTCTCTTTATTGCTGATTGAGAATAACACTCTTGTGTATTTTTATTTATTTTTTCATTTTCCTGCTGTGATGTAATCCTGTACCCAGGAAAAGCCTGTGTCCTCAAATGCCTGCTGGATATTCACAAAGTCTTCAGAGAGAACGAGCCGGCCTACATATTGAATGATCTGTACATCACCGACTACTGCGTCTGGATTCAGAGGGTCAAGTGAGTTCATGCACACACATTTGCATTTTATGTGCACTCACCCCAGACAAACCTTCATCGACACAGAATTGCTGAACCTTTCAAACTGGTAGAAGAGGCACTCTGCCCTTATAACGCACCAGTGCTTTTTAGATGAGGCTTTTGTCACGGCTGCCAGTGGTGGATGCAGCTGCTCATCACTATGTGTCAAAACTAGTATTACCAAATCTAAAAAGAGCAAACTGCACTCTGCAGATTACCTACCCACAAACATTTACTCTGTCTGTGTGTGTGTGTGAGAGTGTGTGTGTGTGTGTGTGCTGTCATTGACAGTCTCTGTGCCTGTAACCCTTCACCAGGACTTTAGGCCAGTTCCACAAATCTGCAGTATTCTTCTGGATGATATGGATTTGATAGCTCTCCACTCCTCCAGGCACATCTACAATTACTTACACATTTCAAATGTGAGCCTGCAAGCACATTACTCAGTAATGAGCACTGTTTTACTCTTGGCCGCAGTTCAGCCTAGCGGTGTGCTCGTCTGGAAAAGTCCCAGTTGAAAAATGTGCGCCTGATGTTGTAGGCTCAGCGCCCAGATGCAGACACGATAAAAGGGCTGTGGGGATTTATTGCGCACCCCACCTCCACCACCTCTTCTCTCCCTTTACATTCTCATTTCTTCCTTTTCCCAAAGTACAAATCTTGAGTTATTTTCCTCCTGGAAGGGTGGACGTTGTGAATGCTGATAGTGAGATGCGGCTCAGGTCGGGTGTGATTTCCTGTCTCCTGATCTCACGGACCACAGAGAAGACACGCCCTTTGTTTTACTCTGTTCTCTTGTTAAGCTGTTGACAGGCTGACGGTCTGTCACCTCACTGGAAATCTCAATCAGTCTCCTGGCTGAGAGGCACTGGAGTTTCTGTCACTCATCTCTTTTCAGGCTGAACTACATTGTAGCCAAATGTCAGCTTGACCTTACACGTGTTCTCCCCGCTTCTCCCTGCATTGATCGTTAAAGGGATTAGTCTGAGATCACACACACCACTGACCTGTGACTGAAATGATGCATTTCACCATGTGGGCTTTGTTTCTTCCTCTCTGCAGTGGAACATAAATAAAGCTGGTGTTCAGACAAGATGATTATATATTTAAAAAAATGTGGAGTGAAATTAGTTTTGTTTTTTTAGTAATACACACTCACTTCTCAACTGATTTGCATGAACTAATCCACCACCAGATGGGAATTTGATCTCGAATGAACTCATTTGGTTGCAAAGCTATAAAAACGACTACGACAGTTTCTCTCAAATGAAAAAACAAAACAAAACTGATGTATTACTATATTGAAGAAGTGTAACCATAAATTGAGACTAGTATTTACAGATATTATAAATTAAGATAACATAGAAATTAGTCTTTTCCAAAGACTCATTTCTTTTTATGATTGAAAACATTTTAAAGTGTTACATTCATATAAAAAAAACAAAACAACTCTTACCACATTAAGACTCAGTGGACGTCCCAGTCACATTTCTCTGTAAGCTAAAACCAATAGTTTTCCCATAGGACTCTGTGGACAAGTGAGTGACTCAATCTTTAATGAAAAGTCTGGACAAAGTAAAAAAGAAAATGGTGGAACCATTGTACAGAATTGGCAGAGAACGTTTATATTCATTTAGTTTTATTTATAGACTAGCACAACAACGGAGTGGGCCAGCGTACAGCTTTAAAAGAACACAAAAAGATTTAACAGCCTCGTAATTTAGTACTTCCACAAAGGAAACCAATCAGTCAAACTCAAATTGCTCTTGTTGCCACCTTAAAGTAACAAAATGTGCTACTAATTACACCCTAGACATAGATTTTTATATCATTTATAGGTTGCTGTGAATTCAAACTGTGATTAAAACTTTACTTTACCTCCACAAAACAAACAGACAAAATTTGTTTTTTTTACTGTTGGCTTAAGAGATCTTCAAAAATATATGTCAATCAGTGTATCTGAAATGCACTACTGCTTAAAATGTAAATGACCCTGGAATTAAAGTGGTTACTATTAGAAAAAACTTTTTTAAAAATAATATCACGTTTGGCCTGACCATGGCATTAATGTACAGGCAACACACGGATTCTAATATTGACTGCACTTATTGCAACAATGTCAGCCGTCACATTGTTAAAAAACATTGGGATTAATGAAACCACTTCACTCATATTAAACCGCTTAACAGAGTGTTCAGGCGTAGGTTGGCTTTGGTGGTGTCAGTGTGGAGGTTCTGGCTCTGTAGAAATTATACAGTCTTCTCTTGTGGTTAGTGAAACTATTTCCTGATGTTTCAGTGTGATTTTAAAAGAGCATGGCAAAGGAAACACGGATTTCTGTTGTTTAGAACAAGCAGACTCACATCTTCTGTCAAAAGCGCCATTTGTTGTAACAGCCGCACTGTGTCTCTTGACGGGTATGATGACGGATGGAGTTGGCATCGTTTTGTTCCGTGTGAAATATTCCCCCGTGCAGGATTTGTCATCCTTAGCTAAGCGAGTCATATCAGGGAGCAGGCAGTTGAAGGAGATTTAATCTACTCCTCACTGCATCCCTGTATCTTGTCACTCTGACACCGCAGAGACAGACGTGATGAGCTTTGCATGATGGACACAGGGATTAATGGGTTTGTTGGCTGGAGCGTTGATTTATTTAGGCCTCTCGCTATCCCACGTGGAGTTCTCTTTCAGAAAGTTATTTTAACTGCCTTGGCATCAGTGTCAAATTTACAGCCCAATAAAGCCTTCAGTGTGATTTAAACCCCGGGGGCAAGGGCCACCCGGGATTTCTTTCACAGTTTAAAAAGTGACTCTATCCCTGCTCACTCAATTCAAAGGTGCAAACTCCCAAATGTTTTTTTTTTTTTGCTTGTCTGTGTCTCATTTGTGTGAACATTTTTTTTACCACCACTGTTATAACTCCGGCCTTGCCGCCCCATCCAATCCCATTTATCTCTGTATACATCGTTAGCATTGAGCTATATTCCAAAATAGTGTTGTAGCCTCCTTGGATTCTTGAAGGACCTCCAATGCCAAGACCCTTGAAAATTGTGTAGAAAGAAAATGCTCCCACCACCCCCCTCTCTTTCTCTCTCTCTCTCTCTCATAGTCTTTGTCTTCATTCTTTTTCTTAAGACTTGGAGGGAGGCCAACGTAGATTCATGGCAGCCACAACAGACAAAAGCTTCTAATCCCAGTGTTGTGTTACAGGGCCTTGGATAAACCAGAGGGGCTACAACTCTGTTTTTTTTTTAAAAACCACCCAACCACGTTTTTTAAATGGGTTAATTATATTCTACCAGGGAAAAGTATGGTAGCATTCAAGTGAAGTACTTTTGTGTTAGTTTGAAAAGGTGGGCTGGAGGGTAGGGGCAAATGAAGTATTTTGTTGTGAGGGAATAAGTTGCTGTGTTAATTTGTTTGTCTACACAATAACAAACTTTGACTTTGGACACACACACAATTTCTCAGTAATGGTGAGAAATGGCTGGGTCTCAATGTTTGTGTTTCTGATGGTTTGGAGCAGTGGTCGCCAACCCCCGGCAGCCGTTTATTGTCAGATTTATTCTAAACTGAATTTTAGAAATGATGCCATGTGACTTGGTTTGACGTCCTACCTTTTAGTCTAGTGCAAAATACACATACTCTCCATTGTCATTCTTTTAATGTGTGGATGAGTGTGTCAGCAGTAGCTGCAGCTCCAGTGAGTGGCAGTGTTGTGGGGCAGTAAGGTCAACTGTCAGGTCACTGTTTAACCTTTGACTGGTTTTCCAATGCCTTGAAAATGCCCTTGTGTTTGCTGGCAAGTTGTTAACACGCTGTAAAATGCTGTTCAGTTGACCACAGCGTGCCTGCTGGTAGGATTAAAAAACACACGGCTCTTATCACCTTCATCGTCCCACGAGCTTCTCAGCGCAGCCAGGTTTTTCATTTGACTTGTGCCAAGAGGCTTTTCATTGGAGATTTAAATTTGTTGTTATTTCTGGAATGTGATCCTTCTTGTGTGTAAGTAAGGTGGAAGCCAAGACTGGCGGGTTTTCTAAATCTCTTCTTGCCAACCACACAGCTGCTGTGACAGTGTTGTTTTTTTTTTCCTGATATGGACTTTAGTGGAAGCACCAGGCAGGGTTTTACTACTGTCAGTGGCCTGTCCCACTGAAAGCTGTAAGACAAATAAAGGAGCCACAGTATCTGATCTGTTAGCCTCTGCACGGAGGGAGATCCCAGAGACCCTGCTGAGGGGAACAATGACACAAATGTCTCCCAACTAACAGAGATAAAGAGTACAGATTTCCTCCCAGCGTGTTACCACACCAGAACGCACAAGATCATGTGAAACATCAACTTGAACTTGGGATTGGCCTCTCCATTTTTTACACTCAACAACAGTGAAGGGATTTCTCCGTCTTTGCAGCTTCACATGACTGTTTTTGGAGGAGAAGGAAGAGTAAAACACAGACTGAACAGCTACAGTGCTGGGACTAGACTGCCTAAGGAACAACATCTGTCGAAAAAAGTTTTAAACTGCCTGACAGTTCCAACTGAAGAATGACAACTGACTCAACTCAGTTTCAGCTTGTCATGCTCTAGTGTTAAAAAAAGGAAACTTTCAAGAAAGAAAACCTGAGGGCTTCGACATTTCAAGTAGAGACCAATCAACTGCTGTCACCTTTACAAATACTGCACTTTGACAAAACAAAAACACAAGCTGTGGCATTCCCAAGAAACTTTCTGCACGAATGTTACATCCACTACCATGGTCTGCAGCCAGACATTGATTTTTTTGTGCTTTCTAATTGTGTTTTTTACCAGGCAGCTGTAGAACTCTGGAATTTAGGTTTCTAGAAAGAAACTAGAGACTCAGAAATGTTTACGTTTACGTTGGAATCTTGGCCCTGATGCTCTAATAGAGTCCTTGGCAGCTCCTTGTTCAAGCCTAAATGTGACTGTGGGAATAAGGCCCTGGTAGAACACCTGCAGAACTGTTCATGTTCAACCCCTCGTTGGTTGTATAGGTCTGGTTTATATTTCTTGAATCACGCTGGCATCCAACGCCTCGACTCCGTCCAGTATTTAGTTAGATTGATGGATCCCATCCCCCCTGTCAGCTTTTATCCCACTCAGCCAGTCAGTTATGTAGTTTGTGAGTTACACTCGCTCACTTATATTACACAGATTTATACATCCGATGACGGGCTTCATCTGGAGATTGTTCAACAGCTCAGACATATTTAATGAGTTGTCTTTTTCACCGAACACGACTCTGATAAAAGAAATTTCTGACGGTGCTGAATACAAACAAACAAACACACACACACACACAAACACACATTTACATTTTTCGTTCACTGCTCTCAAGGACTCTGGCAGATGGAAGTGTCTTTGTCTCGCCAGAAGTTTTCCAACCTTGAAAACGCCACCCCTCCTCAGTTTAATGACTGCAAGCCACAACAGTGGTGTAGTAATGACTGGATTGTGTACAACACCCCCCCTCCCCCTCCCGGACAGAGTCTTTGTATTCACCGCAGGCTACGCTTCTCCCACCACCGAGCAAGGGAGGGGAGAGAAAACAAGCGGGCCCTTCCAATTCTAACTCAATAATGACTTCCCACGGGGGGAAAGGGAATACGGGCCAGTCTTTGAAGTGGCTGTGCTGCAGGAGGCTCTTCAGCCCCAGCCTTGATGCAGCAACTTCTCACGTGGATTTTATAGAGTCTTGAACCTGGACGGCCTGTGTGCAGCCTGCAGGAACCAGGATCATACATCTCCCTTTATCCCCTAGTCACTGTTTGAAGAAGCTATTAGTCACTGTTTGAATTATGCATGACTTGCAAACTCCGCTCTTACCTGCCATTTTCACTGTGTATCTACAGAATAGCTGGAGTTATTTGTCCAGGAGTTCAGTGTATTTTTTACAATATGATAATTTGCACGTGATGTTTGAATTGACTTGAGGAAAAATGCAGTCTTTGCATTTGATCTGAATTAAAGTTTAAATGTGATTCTAAACACGGAATGTAATATTATAAAAGACAGGCTAACTTTTCCATATACCTCATTAATAGGCATATTCTTTAATGCATGCACAGTGTGTGGCCCCAGCAATGACAGAGCAATACCAGAAGGGACGTGACTCAGCAGTCCTCCGAGATTGAACTGAAGGAATTGTCTGCCAGAAGGCATGAGCATGATCTCATTTAAATGCACGATATGAAGCACAAAGAGCCGTGAAGCTGACTGAGTTCATAGACACCTGAAAAAAAGAAATGTCTGTCCTTGTGCAGACTGAATGTGTTTTTGTCATGCAGGAAAAAGAGATTTGTTTTATTTTATTCAAGGAGCAAGGATCTGTCATATTGTGCAGAGTGAACTCTGTTAACAAAGGTTTCTGTGACATTTGACTTGTGGCTTAAACTCTTTATACAAGAGTATGTTTGTTTAAAAGAGAAAAAATAATTATAATATTCTATAATGTCTTAGGGCACATGTGTCAACCTCAAGGCCCGGGGGCCAAATACGGCCCGCCAAGTTATCTTTAGTGGCCCGCGGGAGCTTAAAAATCATTTAATACTTTAGAGTTTCTTTTTATCAGTTAAAACATTATTATTACGTTATGGAGTAGTTACATCTATACTGTACAGTCTTCCGTTTATGAGCCGCCAGTGAAAATGAGTTTACACCCCTGCCTTAAGGGAAACCCCAATTACATTACAGAAAAAAAAAATCGATATAGATTGAGTATCGGTATTTTCTTGCTGTAGGATCTGTTCACACTCTCCGTCCTGAGGTCTAAAATGAATACACAGCCTCCACACACTCCTTCCATGAACACTTGTGCTCCAGAATAGGGTCTCATTAGGGACAACACAGTAATGAAGAGCCATCGTGGTGCTCAGCGGTGGGTTAATTTGGGCAAGAGAGGGTCAGAGGAGCAGTGTATGAAAATGTAAATGGCAGCCAGAGAGAAGCCTAGCCACACATACAACCCCCCCCCCCCGCATAAACGCACACCAGCATCGCACATACTTTTAATCCCAACCTGAATAAGCATGGTCTGAATGGCGGTGACCCCCAAAGGTCAGCTCGTAATCACCACAGCAATGAAGGCGGCACATGAGCTCTGGCAGCACAGAGGGACGAACAGCAACCACTTATGTTTTTGTCAGCCTGGCAGGGATTCCTAGTGTGAATAATGTGAAAACAGGGGCCTCCAAACAAGGAGGGCCCTGTGGGAGGACATTCATTAGTAATAAAACACCTCCCTCTCTTACAGGACTCTGTGGTGTCTTCTGTGGTGACACAGCCACTGGGTTGTTGGATGTAGTGATGAGTTCTACTCATCCGGAGTTTTAGTGACATTTTCGCTGAGGCTGTTGTTTGCAGCCATTCTCTGGCTGAAAATGAATGGACTGTCACAGAGTTGAACCTCGTAGCTAATGGTCTGTGACCCCTCAGTGTCAATAACTCTGCTTCTCAGTGCAGGTTTAGAACATGTACCAATAAAAAAACATGGAATGTGGAATATGAGGAAAATAGTCAAATGTCCTGGAAATTTATTCAATCAATTTTAATCTTTTTTTATAACTTTTATAAACTAAGTTTAAATTCCAAATCCAAATTTTCTTTTCCCCTGATGTCCACAAGATACATCTCTGCCCTAGCACAGCCTCTGTCTGTTGGTGTGGTCTGTCATGAACATGAAAGTGTGAGTGTGCATGTGTAGACTGTGGTCAAGGAGGTGTGTGCCCCCCCACCCCCACCCCCGGCTCCGCTCTTGAGAATCCATTATTTAAACCTCCACATTTCCATGTTTCATTGAGTCCCTCTGCTCACAAATTAGGCTCTATTTAAAATTCAGATGAAAAAGGGTTTTTGCTAATGGCTATTAGATTCACAGATGGTTATCCCGTGGCCATGTCTTCAATACAAAGAGCCAGGCAGTTATTAGAAAAGATATTTTATTCCTCTTACACAGCTGTAGCCGGGGTTTTCATTAAACGACTCAATTTTTCCTTTTCTCTCGCTTCCTCCTCTCAGGTCAAAAAAGTTGACAGCTTTTGCTGCAATGTTAAAAACAGCTCCTCTGCACAAAAAAGACTTGAAGCTGGAGCTGGTGGAACTGGAGGAGGCGGCAGCTCTGGTGGTGGAGGAAACGAAGGCAAAAGAGCAGGGACCATCTGAGAGCGCTCCATTATCCAACGGTGACAGCAGTGATGACAGCAGCGACAGCAGCAGCAGCAGCGACAGCAGCAGCAGCAGCAGTGACAGCAGCAGCAGCAGCAGCGGCTCATCTTATGAGAGCGAGGAGTCAGAGGCTGAAGAGTGTGCTGAATCAGGAAGGGGAGGAGGAGGAGGGAAGACTTTTAAGGACAGCCCTCCACTTCCCCAACCCACGTCCGCTGCCTCTCCCATCCCCCGGGAACCAACAAGCACTCTCAGCTTAGCAGCGGAGAAAGTGGACACCCTCCCCTCGGCTTCTGGAGACACCAGACTTCTCATCCAGGAGCTGGGTGAGCATTTGGCTGACGAGCTGCAAATCTCTGAGGACTCCAGCGGAGGCACAGAGGGGAGACGGTGTTCCCAGCTGAGCAGCGTTGAAGCAAAGAGGAAACCAACATCTGCAAGTAGCAGCAGTGGGACTTTGTTAGAGCCCGGTCCGTACAGGAATCCTCTGCTCATCGTACGAACACCAGAGGATGAGGAGGAAAATGACTTCATTCAACGGATGTAATATGGAAAAATCTGCTGGATTAATGGCTGGACCGGTGGGGATTTAAATCATTTGCTAAACAAGATGTTTCAACTTGGTTCCACTGGATCATCATCCACCTTCAGTTTAGTTACGTTTTCATTTAAAGCCTTAACTGATTTTTTTATATTTACAGCACAGTTTAGTATTTTCAATTATAGTATAGAATATAAGACTATGAACATGATTCTCACTTCTTTAACTTCTCACCTACGATAATAATAAAGCCACAATCGCCCCTATAGTAATTATAGCTGCATATTCTTTTAACTGTTTACTCCAAATGTCATTCATCTGAGTATAATACCTTGTTTTCCTGTCGGTGTTTTATAAATAAACAGGATTGTCAGAAACATTTGTCAGTGTTCGTCGTTCGCCGTACATCAATCATTCGTGGATTTAGAGCAGCGACTCCTCTCCTGATGAAAAAAGTGTAAAAAGTACTAACTCCTTTCTAAAAACCAGCGATTGAGTGAAGGGGAAAAAGACTTTGAACAGGAGCGGCCGAGGACCCAGACGTGATTGATTCTTCTGCCGTGAGTGGAGGAGCTCAGACGACGGTGCTCAATATCGTGAGCCTCGTCGAGCAGACGGCAGAGCACAAACAAGGCAGCACATGTCAGGCAGATAGATGAGGGCTTTGAAGGAGAGGCAGCGGCACGGCAGCTGTTTGTTTTAGAGATAAGAGCACCCTGGGACTCCAGGCTGCTTAGAGGGAGAGAGAGAGAGAAGAGCAAAAGACCAACAGAGGAAGAAAAAACACTGAGACCAGAGTGTAGGCTGGATGTGGAGAAGCAAAGAAAACTGCAAACGAAGAGAGGCTTGTGCTTGAGATCACAATATTCTTGGCTATCATGATCACAACATTGAAATTGTGTTGATTATGGTGGAATTTCCTGATTGGGATTACAACACGTGGAAAGAAAAGTCGACATGTTGAACATGCTGTTTAACTCACTATAGTCTTGATCTTTTGGGGTTTTTTTTATAACACACCAATTTTGTATTGGAAAAATTCCAACACTTACTATGTAATGAAATACAATGATATTCAGGTTTCAATATAATGTAAAACCTTAGCTTGTTTAGTTGAAATTGATGCTGATATACTTGCAGGAATTGATGAAAGACAGACATACAAGGTAGAGTATTAAATATTTAAAAATAATCCCGTTTAATCCAGTTATATATGTTATTTGTCAGCCATTCCACAAGAGCAAACACCTTTCCCCGTAAAGGACATGTTGAATTAGCAGAGTCAGTGGTTCCCTGTGATCCCTCCGGGCCGCCACAAGTGAAAGCAGAGACTGATCAAACACAGACAGTGTTGCCTGGAGCTGCTCCGGGGCAGTTTCATGCCGCGCTGCATGGAGGCAGCTGGTGGTGATGATGACTGCTTAGACAGCCAGTGTCTGCACTATTGTGTTGCCCAGATTGATGTTGTTCTAAGGCACCTCCCAAGAAGAGCCAGCTTCCTTACATCACACCCTTGGGAGGAAGCATCATCGCTGCTGTGATGGAAATGACTTATGCTGCGATGGCCGGCCCATTTAAAACCTCCTCCGTTCTGGGGACACCAGTGTGAGTTCAGCCCCCACAGGCGCTGCTTCCCTCAGGCCCGCTGTGGTTTCACATTGATTAAGTGACACTGGGCTCCATTGCCGTTTTTCATCTTAAAGTGGCCTCCGTATTCCTCCATTAGCTCAGCCATCTTGAAGTCTGACCGGGGGCTCGGCGACTCCCTCGGTTCTTTCTTTGATTAATTCTCCCTCCAGCTGACAAGAGACGAGGCTGCGTATTAATGAACATGACAGATAAATTATACTAGACAGCAGTTAATGAGATGTTCACGCTCTTTTTTTGACTCGGATTTGACGCATCAGCCTCTTATCCATGTACCGTGGGCGCCCTTTGACCCCTGACGCTCCGAGGAAGTGGAGTAATGTCTCCAAGTCATTGTGGAACACGTGTAGGTCATTGTGGAAATCACATCACTAAAGTGAGTTCTGTCAAGTCTAATGATGTATTTCATTTTCATCAACTCATTCACACAGTAGGATAATTCAGTGTTTTCAGAGACTCTTCCAATTGGTATTCTATAACGAATACATTTTGAAGCGAAAATGCTAAATAATAAAAAAAATGGACCAGCCTGTGACTCAGTAATGACAGGATTGGAGTTATCATCTGGGCTCCCAGGTTACATCTCACATTAGCTGTGTTGAGCAGGCACCGATTCCCTGACTCTAAGGGTGCTTTCTGTAAGTGACCACAGCTCAAGGAATCGGTGAAATTCTTCTTCTGAAGAAAGTTTAAAATTTCCTAAAATAATTTGGACACTTTCAAAAGATGCTGTTAATTTAAAGGCAGTTGGACCAAGCAGAACTAAAATAGTCTATTTTGAAATTGCTGATTTGGTCCATGGACCACTGCTTTAGACCAGTGTTTCTGGTTACCCATATTTTAAAAGTCATAAAACTTCGCAACCCAAGTCAATAGACATTATTCGTAAACTCCTGGGAAACATGATGCGAGACGACCCAAAACAAATCTCTTGCGAGCCACCTGAGGGTCGCGACCCAGTCTTTGGGAAAGAATGCTTTAGACAGCCATGTAGGAGAAAATCTTCACTTGCAACAAAATAGTGTCTTAATTTCTTCAACAACAAAGTGTAAAAATATCTCAGACAAAAAGTCATAATTGATGAGTTTTCTTTCTTTAAGAAAGCTTATAAAATGCAAACTTTTTTTTGCAGTTTGTGTTTTGTGTTGCAGCATGTGTCCAGGCCCTGCTGCTGACCTCTAGGTCACCAATGAAGAGTCACTGTGACCTTGAGCTGACATGGGACTCACATCATTTCACAGAGAGCCTAACTGCACACAGAGCGTTGCAATAACATAATTACAGTATCAGACGACAAAAGTGTCTGTTGTAAGAACTGAGTGAACTGAAACAGACTGAGTTGTTTGAATGATTGAGGCCGAGCGTCTGGGAAAATAAAGCGAACCCCTCGTCTCTCTCCTCTGCGGCGTGACCTTGCTCATCCCGCTGTGAATAGAAACGTCTGAATTATCTCACTAATGTGATAAAGCACGCCGTCCTTTATTTATTGTTTTAGAAAGAACGCTGGCAGCAAGGACGGTGTCGTCACTGCCCTCCCTCTGCCGGCAACACGCTGCCTCCGGTTGATTGTGATAGAAAACTCAATCTTCTCTCCCCCGTTCTCCTGGAAGAGGCAAAGTGATTCTGGTGCTTGAAAAGATTAATAGCCCTCAAGACGGAATGAATCAGGTGCTCTCCAAGGACTCGTCCAATGTGCGTGCAAATAGCAATCCCTTTGTGTGCGCTCTTTCTCACGCGGCTGTGTCACGGCCCACCTCTCCCTCTCTTTTGTGGCCCGTATACTGTGTCATGTAGCTCCAGGCTTGGCCGGCCAGCAGTCAGAGGAGCCGGGCTCTCTGTGCAGCTCGCAAAAGGAGAGAAGCAGGTGGCCGCTCTCTTCAGCTGCGTTCTCCCGGGCTTTGCTGGTCGGCCCTCTTGAAATGACTGACATATGATAATGAGGGAATAAGTGCATGGGATGTATCAGTGTCTCTCAGGCCGACAGCGCTGACAAGGAGGGATTGTCTAAATGGGCTATTTTCATGCTCTTAATCACAAAAGAAACAGCAACCCTACCCCCCTTTCAGCAGACTCTGTATGTGTGTGTGTGTGTGGGTGCGTGCGTGTGTGTGTGTGAGCTTATGCGAGCGCGGCTGTGTGTCGACATCCACTTGTCGTAGCATTGCTGAGCTGATTCACTCTAATTGGTGTGAGCAATGTCCGTTAAATCACTCCTTAACTCTCTGAGGACGGGTGCTATCAGGCAGCTTAATGCTGCAAATTGCCTCTGCCATGCCCAAGCACTGAGTGTGTGTGTGTGTGTATCTGTGTGTGTGTGTGCAAGTGAGGAGACCTTTTATTGTTGTATCATCAAGTGCTACGAGGTTAAGCGGACGTCGTCAAAGTCCCATGGTAAAGAAGTGTGGCCTCACACACACGGTCTGACTGTACTGGTGACACACACTTGGACGGCTGTGACAGACCCTCAGTGCTGGAGCAATAGATAGATCAGGGGTCACCAACCCCCGGTCCGTGGACCAGTACTAGTCCAAAGTCATTCGGTACTTGAGTTAGACACACGTGCCTTAGTGGAAGCAGATGTTTTTATTTTTAAACCATTTTTTCCCTGAATTTGCAGCATTTATATTCAGTCAACATTATTCTGTATCTGATTGGATGTGTTGATGAAGTGGTTGGTGACCAGGTGCAGTTTTGTGCGCCATGGTGTGTAGTTCAGTGTACACCGTATAACTGTGCCTGTTCTGCTTCCAAGTACTCGACAGCTGAGAGCATAACTCAGCTTGCCATAATTTTCCCGCTGCTAAACTGCAGTGCTTCGCTAATGTCCTGTTGTTAAACAGTGTGAGGGAAACGTACATCCTTCCTAACGAGGCTGCCTCCACACGGTCGCAGCTCTTCCCTTCGCTCCATGTCGTAGTCAGTCCGCACAGGAGCGTTGTCTACAGGACGACTGTCTGCTGTTTGTTTTCGTTGCTAAAACAGCTGTCAAATATCATTAATATTTCAGTGTGGGAGTTTGGCTGCGGGGGAACCTGGTGTTGTTGAGGGAGTCGAGACAACGCACGGAAACTGTTGCTGTCTGGCCCTCTCCCTCCTCAGCTGCCGTGTAGCTGCTGTGGACTGGAGCTCTCCGCTGAGCCGCTCACGTGATCCCCCCCCCCACTCCCCTCCTCACTCCCCCCCTCGAACCCCAAGGAAATCAAAGTACACAGTGAAACGCTCTCTTCGTTTGTGTCGACAAGCTGTTGGTGTGTCATTACATTATAGTCTGTGCTCGACAGAACAGTAAGACGCTTTAGTACCTCGGCTTCAACCGCTGTCAGATGATAATTGTCTAAACCTGTGCTTCTCAAAGTGTGGGGCGAGGAACCAAGTATTATTTTGTTAACATTATAATTTCTAAAGCTTTTATTTTGAAGTTATGTCCGTGTTAAAGGCCAGGTTTATTTGACATGCACAGTGTCTGCACCTGTAGCTGATCCAACAGTGGAACTTGTTGCCAAGTGAGAGCTTCAGAAGATGAGAGCGATGAGTGTTGAGTGAAGGTGTGGATGTGACGACGACCAGTAATGCTGTAGTTTTTTGTCTGTGTGACACATGTAAGGTAAAGTTTTTTTTTTTTTTTTTCACAGCCTCTTTTGGCAGATTTTCACAGCAGATCATTTCAGTCCACCTGACCCTGCCGTGTTCTTCTTCTTACGGAGGTCCATGAAGTTTCTCTCTCTGTTCT